AACGATGCATATAAATTTTGGCTGCTCTCAGCCATTGTATCACTGTTTCGATTACACAGTGTACTGTTTAATCTTCACACAGAACCCAAACACGGTTTACGGTAAGGCATTTATTTTTGTTAATCTGGAAGAAAAAAAAATTGCAGCTTGTTTACATGGGCCCTGAGGTTAAACTCCCCTGGCAGGGGTTACAATGGGAGCGGTTTTGGTGGCTGTTCTTGACTTTAGTCGCGCAGCGGAAAAGTTTGTGATCGTACCGAGACCGAGACACACGTTTGACCAGAGGTCTGGCCCTCCCTTTTCCGTACCCTGCCGCAGGCCGTCTGTGGTCTGCGCTGCAGTTATATAGGGCCAGAGGGGAGTGACTTGTGAGTTTTGACTACTTCCCTTCTTAAGCAATTGAAGGGCTGACGGAGGCGGTGAAAGTGGGGGCGCTGAGCAACGTGAGTGACCGAGGAGGCCCGAACACGCGTCGCGTGGATTAGGGGGCAGGCGTGTTTTGTGAATCGCACTAAGGCCCCCTTAACAAAACAAGACAATACACGCGTCACATGGCATACAGTTCAAAAGACGTGTCATTAGCAACACAACTAAGTACAAACATTCCTTTTGTCTGCCCGCTCGGCAAGAGCGGCGCTGGGGAAGGAGGGAGGGTGGTGGTGATGTGGGAGCAGGGCTGGGTGTGTGCACAACGGCAAGTTTTCCGCGCCAGTGTGAAATGCAGCGGCCGCCCTGGAAAATCATTCTGTAACCAATCGGAATCCTGCCCTCAAGGCAGTGCCCTGACTCTACCCCTAACCTGAACCCAGTCTTTGCCTCTATCCCCACGCCACATACATGATCATGGCGTGCTCATTCGCATACTCGTTATTGCACTCAGTGAGCCCCAAAACCGATGCTCATTCGTGGCAGTGGCATGTATCACTCCACCTCGTCTTTTCATCTGATTGGCCAATAAGCTGTGTCGGGTAAGTGACGGACAAGCACACACCTCACCAATTGCGTGGCCAGAACGAGTAGAAAGACACGCTACGAGGGTGTTCAGGCAATGCCCCGTCTTTGCAGCAGAGAGATGATGTATCTGGAGCAATCGCCATTTTCTCTGCTACGAAGAGAGATTTTTATAAGGCCACTGCCCAAAACGGTATGTATTTTATATAGCATATGTTTTCCCTTCTAGGGCCACAGCGTTATTGATGAATGTGTAGAGTGCTTTGTTATTTGTGCTTGTGCACCACTGCCAATGCAGCAGCATATGTAAATGAATGTTTTTATTTGAATAAGTTCAGCAGCTTATGTGCTTCACAACAAGCCTCTCTTTACCGCCTACTACTACTGGCATTGTATGCTGTGACTCATGTGTTGTTTTTACTAAACTATAAACACTTTTCGCAAGTGACCTGGCCACAAATGATAGCTTAACGAAGTGGCTTGTCATGTAGACATTTATAGCAGGCAAATACTCTGAACGCATGTCTCTGGATGTGGAGGGAAAAACCGGAGGATTCGGAGAAAAATCCTCGCGAGCACAGGGAGAACAAATATGCAGGCATCAGGGTCGGAATGGAACCACAACATCCTGTATGCCAGGCGAGGTAGTTAACATCTCGCCACCGTGGTGCCCCTACAGTGGTGTACTGATCATAACTGCATGTGATAGGATATCATTTGTCACGTAGCTTATTTTGACTCATCACATTCTCTGCCTGCGAAACACACTTATTCTACGCACTATAGAGCCACGTGTGATCTGGTTTGCGGGCAGGATACGTCTTTTGGAAGGACGCACACATTTTTATTCACACTCACTCTCCCCATTGTTATTTTAAACATTTTCTAAGCATAGGCCTAAATGCCGAAAACGTCCAGCGGGCAGCAACAATCGGCACTTTCAAAGTCGTAATTTACACAGTTAATACTTGTCTTAACTTGAGCAAGGTTATTATAGGAGCTTGGGAACAGGCGATAGGAGGGAATTCGAAATAACTTGACCAAGGTTATTATAGGAGCTTGGGAATAGTCGATGGGAGGGAATTCTAAAGTGCAGCAATGCGAGGTAAAAAGTCGAGAGAGAAGTGTTATGACCTGCAGTGTGGTATTTGAACACAGCATGGATTAAATAAAACAGTGCCTGGTTAACCTTTATTCAAACAAGTTGCACTTATTCAAGCAAAAGAATGAATGGAAACTCGTTAATGACGTGTCCTCTTGTTTATGATTAAAGGCGGGGGGGGGGGGGGGGTCCCAGGGAGGGGGTCCCCGTGATGAAGGGCGTCCGGCTCTGGTTCCGCCGATTGTTAGGGAAGTCTGAGGCCCCACTTCTCTCCCCACCCTCCGGCACCGCTCCCTGGCTGCCCCCCGGGACGGGAAGGCAGCTGCAACAACAACAGGGTGCGCTGTTCGGAAACCCAGCGCTGCCCGGTGTCCGATTGGAAGTATTTTTAAGTAATGGGCCCCCGTGCGTGGTCCTTGTTAAGGTCACGGAATTACACGTGGCGTGCCAATGGAGGGCAATCTGAGGCCAGAGGAGGCTCGTGACCGTGACCTGCTTCCAGATGTAAACCCAGAAGATAATGGGCCCACAGCGGCCGTAGGACAGGGGCGACCTCAATTGGCTGGGGCTGGGCCAGGCCCCCCCATGAGCACAGCTGTGCGCAGGGATTGTCTGTGCAGCAAGCGTCTGTGTGGTTGTCGTGCAGCGATCGTTCGTGTGAAATTTCCATCCAACTAGACGTGACTCTACCTCTTATGTAGATTGGTGCCTGGGTTTACCTGCGTGGGTCGGTGTCCCTGCACCGGTGTCCCTGTCTCCGTGTCTCCGTGCGCATTGGACCTGACCATGGGGATATATATGCACAGAAACTCCCAGGAAGTCCCTGATTGCTCCAGACAAGTCACCGCTGCCTCATTGTCAGACCAGACACGTGTATGTGCCGCACACCGTGCTGTTCCGTAAAAATAAGTATAAAATTAAAGTAAAAACAGGTCGGCTCGTACTGTTTCCACCACCATTGCCACCACCAGCAGATGTGACGTGCACCACGCTGGGCAGATGTGCGAAACGCCCAGCTGGCATAGGCGCCCAGTGTTTGCACGCGTGAAGTTCTGGCTCTGTGTCCTGCGACACTACACTGTGTACTGTATCTGCGCACTGACTGCGAATACCGTGACTGATATTATGGTAATGCGAATGTGTGTGTATACTGCGAGTGTGCATACGTACATTGTGCTCACTGAATATCGGCCATTTACATCTCGAAGGAGCTGCGGGTATGCATGACCGTGCCACGTACACACATCCGCCTAATCTTAACCCTTATGCGAGCGAGCAAAGTGCCAACCCTGCACTCAGCACAGCTAGAGTCGGGTCAGGGTTACCTCGGTTATCGCAGAAGCAGATTCTGCAGGGGTCTCGCACTTGCGCCACAGTGTAGAGTCTACGTGTGCGACCGCAGAGCTCTGGACTTCTGGCCTCGGCTGGCACGTGCGGCACGCGCGTGTTTACCCTGGTGATTAATGACGAGCCGTGTTTACCCTGGTAATTAACCCCACAAAGGTAGCGGGGTCAACGGGGCCCGCTCCATAGGGAGGCGCCGTGCCAGGCACCTGTCGTGGGGAATGCGTGTGCGTGTGTGTAATTGTGCGGACACTGGAAGCATCGTCTGTGCCCACGGCTTCACGGCCAGCGAGGAATGAGCACCGCAGGGGACCAGCTCAGAGTGGGCCTCCACTCTGAACATACAAGCGGACAGAGATGGGCTGCTGGTGCGCAAGCCACCTTGGGTCACCTCTAGGGCACATTGATTGTTTTTTTAATCTATCAGTGGGCATGGGACAGCGGGCACACGTGTGCTGCGAATACTTGCGTGTCCTCGCCTCCACCGGGGCTACCTGGAGCAGCGAATGGTGAGGGTTGCGTGGCCTCGCCAACACTCCCCGTGTGCGTGCGTTCTCGTCACGGTAGGGGCACGGGGGAATCTACCTATGATGGGAAAGGGAAATCAAAGAGCAAGGCCGCCTATCGGGCTGTGGGGGCTATCGGCTCTCGGGCTATCGGGATATCAGGGACGCTGGCCTATGCGACTCTCTCGCTCCGTCGCCGCACGGCAGGTGCTGCGGGTTTGAGCGTCATGTCCACCTGTAGCGGAGATGCGATCAAAAACCAACGCGGCCATCGCGGGAGACCAGGAGTTGCAGGCAGGGGACACTTCACCTCGCCCTTCCCGTTTCCTTGCTAATGACGGCAACGTAGCGCGGCTAGTAAACACCGCATCGTGCGAAGTGCTGGCCGCCCTTGTAAAGCGGTCCTCGGTTCACATGCATGTGAGAAATTTGGAGCCTATTAACATGGAATGTTGGCACTAAACACCGCACATCCAATGTTGAGCGGCATTCGTGAGTAAAGATGTGCGCAGCAGCCCCAGGGGCCAACAGTTGCCATTTGTGCGTCTGCCACAACCACCCGCGCTCTATTTTGCACTGCCGACCCCCTTCCGTTGGGCCCGAGCAGAGAGGAGGAGGCGGTGGGCTTGTAATGAGGTCACCTCACTCCTGCACTCCCTCGGAGTTGTGACGGCGCTGGTGGGGGGGCCCGGAGGGGCGAGGGCCCAATGAGCCGCGTGCGCTTCCTCTTTCCCAGAGCGTCTGCCCCACTGTTGACGTGCCTCCGAAATTAAATTAAGAAATTGTGGCGCCAATTAATTAGTGGCCAGTTGCTGACATGTGCGGGGTAATTGGCAACATGACTCCTTGTGCCCACGTTTTGCCTGCGCCCGTCTCTTCCCCAGCCCCCCCCCATCGCTCCGCAGGGAATCGAGTGGCCGAGTTTACCACAATGGAGAGAGGGGCTCTGGCCCTCATCACCGAGTCTTTGGGGGGGGGGGCAGTAGGGAGATTCTCGAGCCCTCTGGCCCAGCGCCGCCTTCATCGCGGGTGGCGGCTGCAAATGCCGTGACTCTGTGCCAAGAGTGACACTGCTCCTAATGTGTCGGTGCATGCAGGGGCCGTGGCCAACGATGGACCAGCCATGGACAGCGTGTTGCCCCTGCTCAAGGACAAAGTGGCCTATCTGTCTGGTGAGAATACGAGTGCCCTCTGTCCGTTTTAATTTTGTATACATGCAAGAGTCCCATACACACAGGCCGGCGTGTGTGTATGTATGTATCTGCTTGTGTAATGTGTGTGTGTGTTTGTGAGCGGTTCTCAATCCGCTTGTGAGTTAATAATCTGGCAGGGGGTTGACTCTACCTATTATCTCTCTGGCGTCGATATGAGTATCACTTTGTGGGCAAGTCACCAGCGGTTGTCCTCTGGATCGACTGGGGAATCCCCACTACTGGCTCAGGGCTGTAAACAAGAGATGAGCGCCACCTCAGTGGTCATTTGAGCTAGACGTTAGGTGGATCCCAGAACACCTGGGTCTGCCCTTGGCCCTCCGGCCAGCGAACCGCTTACAATTCACGTGACCTTCAAGTGCACCAAGCCTGGAACAAGCTGTTGTGATGTCATCTCGAACTGGTGGTGAAATGCTGGCTGTCGTGTGTAGTTTTTTTGGTTAGCGCACCACTCCAAACCCGGCGCTCTTGAGTTTTATTTCCACGCAGAACAAGCATCAGTGACGAATATTTGAACTGGTCCTGTGCCTCCCTTACATTGACTCAGCCTTAAATGAGTACCTGGTGAGATGTGTAAACATCACCATTGGGATGGCATAGGCTACCAGGTGTGGTGCTGGCCACCTACCCCCAAGTGCACCATGCCGGCCTTCATAGTTGCTCATTAACTGCACTTGCCCCAACCGTATGTGAAGGCTATACGGGGTATCTCTGTCTCTATGCGTCGTGTGACTCAGGTGGGAGAGATCGGCAAGGAGGCCCCATCATCATGTTCCCGGCGCGTGGCAGCCTGGAGCGGGCCCGTCCCGATGATCTCAGAGAGCTCATCGCTTACCTGGCCAGCGTGCCCAGGTATGCCTTCCATAACCATTTACACTTGTAATTCATCGCAGCCGCTGCATGGTATTCACTCGCTCGTGAAGCAAGAGAAGGACTCAAGAGGCGCTTGGAGGAACCAGAGAGCGGGAAGGCCGCAACCAGGCAGTGAGCTACCGCCAACAATTGCCCAAGCTCTGTGGTCCTCTAAATATGAAGGCCTATCGGCCATTTAATGTGGGAGGAGACGGGGAGCACCCGGAGAAAACCCACGCACGCGACGGGGAAACGCTCTATCCCATACAGATGGAACTGGTGGAGTCCTCTTATTTGTTGTACCGCCGTCCCCGTGTGGGCCAAGTTATGGCACCACCTCGACACCCACGGGGAAGGGAGTTTCACATCCTTTGTGTAATCCTTCAACCCTCATTGCCTCCACAGTGCTGGATCACAGGCGTGCGTAGCCATCACAGTCTGGCAAAGCCATAGCCATGCCCTAGTGTTCCGTGCCTTAGCTCTATCCATCCTCAGGGTAATCCATGCCCTTTTGTGTAAGTGTGCCCCCATTTGCTAATGCACACGCGTCACGGTTGTGTGAATGTGTTGTTTGTCTGCGTGGGTCGTGCGTCGCTGCGTACGTCTGCTGCGCGTCTCCAGCGAGGAGGCGGGCCGCCGCGGCTTCACGGCCGTTGTGGACATGCGCGGCTCCAAGTGGGAGGGCGTGAAGCTGCTGCTGCGGACGCTGCAGGACGCGCTGCCCGGCCGTGTACATGCAGCGCTCATCATCAAACCCGACAACTTCTGGCAAAAGCAGAAAACCAATTTCGGCTCCTCCAAGTTTGAGTTTGAGGTGAGAGCGTCGGGGCGACGGGAGCTGGGAGGAAACGCAGACGGCGGCCATTGTAATTCAGGCAGATGCCGTGCAGCATAGGCCGGTGTGGCCCGCACCGTGGCCCGCTGATTCTGGGGCCGCGTTGCTCGAAAGCGGCTGACCCCGCACCTGTGCCTGCCTCCCCACCCCCCGCCCCGTCAATGTCTCTTCCACGGTCACAGGGAAACAAGACGAATGTATATTTGTACCAGCGTTGAACACGGCCGGCCAGGTGGCTCGGCGGTAGTGCAAGTGGCTCATAATTAGAGGGTTGTGTGTGCAAATCCTTGTTGGGGGGTTCAAATGGCCCTTCTTCCTCATTCGAGATGTCACCTATTATATATATTTTTTTTATTTTTTGGAACAGTGACCTGAATTCATGTGTTGCATTATAATGCTCCACCGCCATCACAGTATCACAGTGCATGTCGCTTAAATGAGAGTGCACTATCCACCGCTCGTGTCTTCCTTTGTTTGACCGCGCGACATCGTGGCTCAAGTGTGTGGCTCCCTTACTCAGTGTAGCTCCTGTACCCCTGATTACCACGGTTGGCTACATACGGTGCGAAAAAAGTTCAACATAAATACATTAAAATGAGCCACACAGCCCAGTAAAAAGACGAGGATTTGCACTGACAGGGCAGTTGCTTAAATGCCTTGGGAACTCAGAGGGCCTTACAGCGTATCTCGTAAATTCCAGTGCCCTGTTATAGTTTAGTCGAGGGGACCCAAGGTGGCAGCTGTCCCTATATTGCTTGCTCGACGTTCAGACGGCGCTGGTGTCGGTGGACGGGCTGGCACGGGTCGTGGACCTGGCACAGCTGACGAGCGAGCTGGATGGCTCGCTGGACTACAGGCACGAGGAGTGGCTGGAGATGCGGGGAGCGGCCGAGCGACTGGCAGGACGAGCGCGCCACCTGCTGTCCCGCCTCGAGGAGCTGCAGGTAACGGCACGTCCCTGCTTCGCTGCGCTGCCCGCCTCTCCCCGTGGCAGACAGCCTGTCTTGTTTCCTGTCATAGAGATGATCCCCCGTGGGACTCTGTGGCATACACGATAAGCAGACTCCGCTTCCTCCAGTCTCTTGCCATTCTGCTGCATTGTTTCTCATCTTCTCTGTATTGCTGTGTCCCCATCTTGGTAACAACTTTCCTCTTCGCCTGTTTCCATCACACTTGCATGGTTATATATTCCAGGGTGGCTCAGCTCGCTGGCCAATTTCCTTCGATAGATTATTTCTATTTTAAGTTCTTTCACTCCTGACTCATGCTTGCCATCGACAGAACGGGAAGCGTGTGCGTGCACGACTGTGTCTCCAATGATTAAATTTGATCATCTGTTGTATTGTTAGCGATGGATTCACATCCATGGAGGGCAATTGAGAGGCCAACTCTCAGTCTTGATTTCTTTGCGTAAAGCCTCGTGTAGTATTACTATGTTTTTTTGACTCAGCAAAGCCTGACTGAGTCTCAAGACACTTTTTCAGGACCATGACTCCAACCATGACTCCAACACACAATGGCATATTCCTTGCGAATTACATCACAGGCTCTTGAACATCCACCAGGAAATAAGACGGTGCGTAGTATTTTTATGGATAATACACCTGGAGTATGGTTGGTTGAAGCCTTGACATTTTTATAAAAGGGTATTGATGTAAAAAATCTGGTCTCAAGTTCCTCTGCCTTCTGTCAATGCTGTCCCTTCCACTGAGATCTCATTCTTTCCTATTGCCATCCACATTGCTATCTCGGGGAGTGTTCCGCTTACGTGGTTGATGAATTCTGTCATCATGTAGCTCAAGTTTAGTTTAAAATCTTATAATGTCACTAACCTCCTGTGTTCCACATTTTCACACAGATCCTATGAGTTGATTAGGCAATGCTACATTCTCAGTATTCCATTCCCAGTGTGACGTACAAATTGCTATTACACGTGGTTCAGAAACACTGGTCATTAATAAATTATATAGAATTAAAGATGAATAGTGCAAAAAGAAGCATGGAGAGAGATGCATGCTTGGGGGGAGCAAATGGATTAGTTATCATGCACAGATTAATGACATCAAAACTATCAAGAAAAATTAAGTGGGCTTGGGCATGACACATCGTTGGAAGGGATGATGAATGATGGTCAAGAATAATAACGGAGTGGCAGCCAAGGAATGGAACGCATTTGAGAGGACGCACACTACGGAGATGGAGCGATGAGTTAAGTTCCATGTTCAAGTCCTGGGTGGATTGTTGCATTGCAGGATCGTGAATGGTGGTAGTAGCTTGGGGTGAGGCCTTAATCCAGCAATGCATTGATCATGGCTGAAGATGATGATGGCATTCTCAACACATCTTGCAGACGCTGCCGTGCGGCATTCCATCCCAGTGCGTCACGACAAGATTAGCGGTCAAAGAATCACTGTGGGATTAGCGGCCAAGGGCAGGCGAGTGCAGCTGCAGAGCACGGTGGGCTGAATTCTCTCCCGAAGTCTGACACTGATACCGGGGCAGGCTCACATTCTGCCTGCTTGTTCCTCTGTTTGGCCCACTTTGCACAAGAGGAGAGCTCTGTTAACCGGGACCGGCGGACGAAACGCGGGACGATGCAAGACCCTAGATATTTAGCCGTACACGACAGGCGTAAAATACATAGGCAGACGTTTCTTCCACACGGCATTGGTTTAATACTAACTAACCCTGGACCGGTTTTGAACATGTGTAGTGACATCGTTGCATGTCGCTATGTGAAGCCGGCCTGGAAGAGGCACGGCGCGCGATATATCGACATCGCAGACACCACTGAAGGTGGATGCAGTACCGGCCCTAGTGGGGCTCGGGGAGCACTGACTGATAGCAATAGATGGCACCACGCGCTGCGTGCAGTGCCAGCCCCTACAGGATAGGGTGCGAGGGTGCTAGCCTCGGAACAGGGTTTCAAGGGGCCATGGCACTCTGGTTGACCACGGAGGACACGTGACTGGAGGACCCCCAAAGGGGGGGCTGGGGTGACCACTTGTTGAGTTGGAGATCCTCCTCGAGGATTCCAGAAGGTTGCCGTGGCTAGGGGTGGAGCGAGCCCCACCACACAGGATATTAGCCGGGCCCCCAGTGGGACCGGCTGCTGTTGTCATCCTGAAGAAACCTTCGTGCTACGTTCTACGTTCTGCAAGAGTCTCCAACACGTGGACCCGGACCCGAGCTGGGTCTGGTCCGGGGTAGCTAGTTACGTTGTAATTAGTGTAGTTAGCCTGGTGGTCACGTAGCTAGTTACGTTGTAATTAGTGTAGATAGCCTGGTGGTTACGTAGCTAGTTACGGTGTAATTAGTGTAGATAGCCTGGTGGTCACGTAGCTAGTTACATTGTAATTAGTGTAGTTAGCCTGGTGGTCACGTAGCTAGTTACGTTGTAATTAGTGTAGATAGCCTGGTGGTTACGTAGCTAGTTACATTGTAATTAGTGTAGATAGCCTGGTGGTTACGTAGCTAGTTACGTTGTAATTAGTGTAGATAGCCTGGTGGTTACGTAGCTAGTTACGGTGTAATTAGTGTAGATAGCCTGGTGGTTACGTAGCTAGTTACGGTTTAATTAGTGAAGATAGCCTGGTGGTTATGTAGCTAGTTACGGTGTAATTAGTGTAGTTAGCCTGGTTGTGACGTAGCTAGTTACGGTGTAATTAGTGTAGTTAGCCTGGTGGTTACGTAGCTAGTTACGGTGTGATTAGTGTAGTTAGCCTGGTGGTGACGTAGCTAGTTACGGTGTACTTAGTGTAGTTAGCCTGGTGGTTACGTAGCTAGTTACGGTGTAATTAGTGTAGTTAGCTTGGTGGTTACATAGCTAGTTACGGTGTAATTAGTGTAGTTAGCCTGGTTGTGACGTAGCTAGTTACGGTGTAATTAGTGTAGTTAGCCTGGTGGTCACGTAGCTAGTTACGTTGTAATTAGTGTAGATAGCCTGGTGGTTACGTAGCTAGTTACGGTGTAATTAGTGTAGTTAGCCTGGTGGTTACGTAGCTAGTTACCGTGTAATTAGTGTAGATAGCCTGGTGGTGACGTAGCTAGTTACGGTGAGGTTAGTGTAGATAACCTGGTGGTTACCTAGCTAGTTACGGTGTAATTAGTGTTGTTAGCCTGGTGGTCATGTAGCTAGTTACGGTTTAATTAGTGTTGATAGCCTGGTGGTTACGTAGCTAGTTACGGTGTAATTAGTGTAGTTAGCCTGGTTGTGACGTAGCAAGTTACGGTGTAATTAGTGTAGATAGCCTGGTGGTTACGTAGCTAGTTACGGTGTAATTAGTGTAGTTAGCCTGGTTGTGACGTAGCTAGTCACGTTGTAATTAGTGTAGTTAGCCTGGTTGTGACGTAGCTAGTCACGTAATTAGTGTAGATAGCCTGGTGGTTACGTAGCTAGTTGTAGTTAGCCTGGTGGTTACGTAGCTAGTTACGGTGTAATTAGTGTAGATAGCCTGGTGGTTACCTAGCTAGTTACGGTTTAATTAGTGTAGATAGCCTGGTGGTTACGTAGCTAGTTACGGTGTGATTAGTGTAGATAGCCTGGTGGTTATGTAGCTAGTTACGGTGTAATTAGTGTAGTTGGCCTGGTTGTGACGTAGCTAGTTACGGTGTAATTAGTGTAGTTAGCCTGGTGGTGACGTAGCTAGTTACGGTGTACTTAGTGTAGTTAGCCTGGTGGTGACATAGCTAGTTACGGTGTGGTTATTGTAGATAGCCTGGTGGCTATGTAGCTAGTTACGGTGTAATTAGTGTATTTAGCTTGGTGGTTACGTAGCTAGTTACGGTGTGATTAGTGTAGATAACCTGGTGGTTACGTAGCTAGTTATGGTGTAATTAGTGTAGTTAGCCTGGTGGTGACGTAGCTAGTTACGGTGTACTTAGTGTAGTTAGCCTGGTGGTGACGTAGCTAGTTACGGTGTGGTTATTGTAGATAGCCTGGTGGCTATGTAGCTAGTTACGGTGTAATTAGTGTATTTAGCTTGGTGGTTACGTAGCTAGTTACGGTGTAATTAGTGTAGTTAGCCTGGTGGTTACGTAGCTAGTTACGGTGTGATTAGTGTAGTTAGCCTGGTGGTCACGTAGCTAGTTACGGTGTGATTAGTGTAGATAGCCTAGTGGTCATGTAGCTAGTTACGGTGTGATTAGTGTAGATAACCTGGTTGGTACGTAGTTAGTTACAGTGTAATTAGTGTGGTTAGCCTGGTGGTTACGTAACTAGTTACGGTGTAATTAGTGTAGTTAGCCTGGTGGTTATGTAGCTAATTACGGTGTAATTAATGTAGTTAGCCTGGTGGTTACGTAGCTAGTTACGTTGTAATTAGTGTAGATAGCCTGGTGGTTACGTAGCTAGTTACGGTGTAATTAGTGTAGTTAGCCTGGTGGTTACGTAGCTAGTTATGGTGTAATTAGTGTAGTTAGCCTGGTTGTGACGTAGCTAGTAACGGTGTAATTAGTGTAGTTAGCCTGGTGGTTACGTAGCTAGTTACGGTGTAATTAGTGTAGTTAGCCTGGTGGTCACGTAGCTAGTTACCGTGTAATTAGTGTAGATAGCCTGGTGGTGACGTAGCTAGTTACGGTGAGGTTAGTGTAGATAACCTGGTGGTTACCTAGCTAGTTACGGTGTAATTAGTGTAGTTAGCCTGGTGGTCATGTAGCTAGTTACGGTTTAATTAGTGTTGATAGCCTGGTGGTTACGTAGCTAGTTACGGTGTAATTAGTGTAGTTAGCCTGGTTGTGACGTAGCAAGTTACGGTGTAATTAGTGTAGATAGCCTGGTGGTTCGTAGCTAGTTACGGTGTAATTAGTGTAGTTAGCCTGGTTGCGACGTAGCTAGTCACGTTGTAATTAGTGTAGTTAGCCTGGTTGTGACGTAGCTAGTCACGTAATTAGTGTAGATAGCCTGGTGGTTACGTAGCTAGTTACGGTGTAATTAGTGTAGTTAGCCTGGTGGTTACGTAGCTAGTTACGGTGTAATTAGTGTAGATAGCCTGGTGGTTACCTAGCTAGTTACGGTTTAATTAGTGTAGATAGCCTGGTGGTTACGTAGCTAGTTACGGTGTGATTAGTGTAGATAGCCTGGTGGTTATGTAGCTAGTTACGGTGTAATTAGTGTAGTTAGCCTGGTTGTGACGTAGCTAGTTACGGTGTAATTAGTGTAGTTAGCCTGGTGGTGACGTAGCTAGTTACGGTGTACTTAGTGTAGTTAGCCTGGTGGTGACGTAGCTAGTTACGGTGTGGTTATTGTAGATAGCCTGGTGGCTATGTAGCTAGTTACGGTGTAATTAGTGTATTTAGCTTGGTGGTTACGTAGCTAGTTACGGTGTGATTAGTGTAGATAACCTGGTGGTTACGTAGCTAGTTATGGTGTAATTAGTGTAGTTAGCCTGGTGGTGACGTAGCTAGTTACGGTGTACTTAGTGTAGTTAGCCTGGTGGTGACGTAGCTAGTTACGGTGTGGTTATTGTAGATAGCCTGGTGGCTATGTAGCTAGTTACGGTGTAATTAGTGTATTTAGCTTGGTGGTTACGTAGCTAGTTACGGTGTAATTAGTGTAGTTAGCCTGGTGGTTACGTAGCTAGTTACGGTGTGATTAGTGTAGATAGCCTAGTGGTCATGTAGCTAGTTACGGTGTGATTAGTGTAGATAACCTGGTTGGTACGTAGTTAGTTACAGTGTAATTAGTGTGGTTAGCCTGGTGGTTACGTAACTAGTTACGGTGTAATTAGTGTAGTTAGCCTGGTGGTTATGTAGCTAATTACGGTGTAATTAATGTACATAGCCTGGTGGTTACGTAGCTAGTTACGGTGTGATTAGTGTAGATAGCCTGGTGGTTACGTAGCTAGTTACGGTGTAATTAGTGTAGTTAGCCTGGTGGTTATGTAGCTAGTTACGGTGTAATTAGTGTAGTTAGCTTGGTGGTTACGTAGCTAGTTACGGTGTCATTAGTGTAGTTAGCCTGGTGGTTATGTAGCTAGTTACGGTGTAATTAGTGTAGTTAGCTTGTTGGTTACGTAGCTAGTTACGGTGTCATTAGTGTAGTTAGCCTGGTGGTTATGTAGCTAGTTACGGTGTAATTAGTGTAGTTAGCTTGGTGGTTACGTAGCTAGTTACGGTGTCATTAGTGTACATAGCTTGGTGGTCCACCACCATTGGTTGTTACCTGGTGAAGGGGCAGTTACCCCTTTGCTTTGGCGTGTTGGTGTTAATAATAAACGTATTGCCTCCAAGAAAACGTCCGAGTCTCCGTTTGAGCCCACTGCCACATGCATTGTCTCATCAGCAGTCAGGCTGACTAAAACCGATACCGCTGAAGGCCATGTGGCTGATGTGATGTGTAAAAAATGCTTTTATTTTCATATGTGGAGCGACAGATATGGGAAAAAGGCGTATTGTCTGCTTAGTTATTTCCTTAGTTATATCCTCTAAGCGACACTCGGGATTTCGTGTTACGTACTAGAAAGTAAGCGGGACACTGCCTTGGTATTGCCATGGTGCAACGGTGAACACGCTGGACGGGCAATCCAGAGGTCACCGGATATATTTAATCTCCTGCCGCGGCATTTGAAAGAATTGTAAAAAAAAATTAAATCCCCCCCTGCATTGACTGTCCATCGATCGGCAGGCTGCGTGTGGTCGGGAAAAGTGTGGGTACTCCCACCAACTCCGAGACGTCCATCCAGCATAGAAGGGGGTACACCAATATCTTCTGCGGGAGCGGGGGGGTCTCTCGAGTTCCATCTAGCGGAGGCCATTCCGCCGGCAATGGCGCGAGCGATTCACTGCCGGGCCGCACCTTTACCTTCTCTACACGATAGTAAGGACCGCCGCGCCACCATGCCCCGTCGCAGGAGATGCTGGCGCGCAAGGACTCCCCCGGGGAGCTTGAGCGGGCGCGGCAGCTGGCGAGCGAGCACGCCAGGCTCAAGCGCACGGTGCTGGCGGCACCCGTCGAGGCCCTGGAGCAGGAGACGCGGCGGCTGGTGGCCCGCGTGCGCTCGGGCGACGCGCAGGCCTTCCCCCGCTGCAACCCCGACCTGCAGGCACTCGGCCCGTGGCTCGCCGGGCTCACGGAGCGCCTGCACACCACCCGCCAGCACCTGCACCAGGTGTGGCACGTGCGCAAGCTCAAGCTGGACCAGTGCTTCCAGCTGCGCCTCTTCGAGCAGGATGCCGACAAGGTGAGGCCGTCGGTGCCCCTAGGGGTAGGGGTGGGTAGGGCTCGGGGCTCAGGGCGGCTGGAGGCTGCTGCCTGCTGACCCAGCTGTGGAAGTTTTTGGGCAGTGGGAAGAACATGGACCAGTGGTGGTGTGTTTACAGATTTTTGCGGAGGTTCTAATCCGGCAGGCGGCCCTTGTTAATACTGCGGGTGTATTAACCATAAAGTACGCGTCGTCTGCTTCCCAGTGGATGTTAAACGTCCCGCGGTGTTGTTAGAAAAGGGGGAGGCCATCGCATGCTGTTGTCATTTAGCGTGTCAATTAAAACAATTACCTGGAAACTACTCAAATAGGATTGTGCAGCAATCATTCGCTCCTCCTGGCAGACTAATGCCTACTCACAGAACGGTGATGAGTCACCTTGTGCCACACAGGGACAGCTGCCTCTGGGTGTGCCCTTCAAATGTTTGTGATGGAAAGCACTTTGAGTTGCTAATGCATTTAAGCAAGTGCAATATAATTATTGTAAACCATATCCTGATCTCTTGAGTTCTCTTGAATTTTCACGTGGTTAAACAAAATAAACATGAAACGGGAAAAGGCCGCGTGACCGTAACTCACCTCATTTACAGAATGTCGTGGGTTTGATCCTGGCCCTGATGCCTGCATGTCTCTCTCCCTGTGGTGGCGTGGATTTTTCTCAGTGTCCTCCGGTTTTTCCCTCCACATTTAGAAACATGTGTTTAGAGAATTTGGATTCTATAAATATCGGCATAATAAGCCATTTCGTCAAATTAATCATCAATTGTGGCCAGGTCGCTTCTGAAAAAAGAGCTACATAGCTCATTGGCCTAACCTGGTAAAATAAAAAATCTTTTTAATAGTTTTAGATTTTAGTATGGGTCAGGTGAGCTGTTGCTCTGGAGCCCAGGAGATTGATGATTGATGTTTGGTCACCGGGTTGATGGCTGTAGTCGTGATTTCCCACTCAACACAGTGATTCGCGCGAGGGTTGCCATCTTCCACTCCCATTGGTCGGTATATCGGTGTGTGTGTGTGTTTCAACAGCTGCAGTTCGCTGGAACTCGTAGCCAGCTACTAAAAGGTTTCACTTTCTTTTGGCTCCCTCCCTGCCCAATATGTGACCTCATCTGCCACCGCCACAGATGTTTGACTGGATCGAGCACAACAAGGAGCTGTTCCTCAAGAGCTGCACAGAGATGGGCTCGGGTCACCAGCACGCATCCGAGCTGCACACACAGCACTCCCACTTCGCCATGAACTCCATGGTAACCTCTCTCCCCTCTGACTCACTGCTCCTCCAGAATCGTGACATCCTGGATGCCCGCACGGCAGCTGCGTAGTCGCACATTGCTGCTACACAAAGCCCAAATTTGGCCAAAGTTGGATCCTGCTGCAGTGTCTGGGGTGGAGCACCCAATCCCCACCTCGTTGATTTGGTTACTTAACGTGTTAGGCCTTTGGGCCCAGTGTTCAGTAATAAAAAAAAAATAGAAAATAACAGCTGTAGCCATTCTCGTGCCTGGGGGAGCAGGTTCACACGTTCCTGGAAATTAATTTTCATTTAATTCTTATTTGTGTTTTTGCACTTTTTCTTATCTCTCTCCCGCAACGTGGCAGTTTTGCCCTGATTTCCATTCGCTTCGTCGTTGTACTTTATTTTTACGTAATTGCTTTTGACGTTTCGGTGACCCAGTTCAGTCACTCTCGCAAACTCGACTCACCACGACCTCGCGATTTCTCACCCGGTCAAACAAAACAAACGCGCAAGGGCGGACGTGCTTCGACGCGCGTGCGTATTCGAGGGGACATGTGTTGATGCACATGCGTGCTCCAGCAGAACGCGTACGTGAACATCAACCGCATCGTTTCGGTGGCGGGGCGCCTCGCGGAGGGTGGCCACTACGCGGCCCAGCAGCTGCGGCAGACGGCCGAGCGGCTCCAGCGCGAGTGGAAGGGCTTCACGGCCGCCATCGACGAGCGCAGCCTCCTGCTGTCCATGTCCGTGCGCTTCCACCTGCGTGGCGAGCAGGTGCATGCGCGGGCTTGGGCGGGTCACCGCGGTCGGGGGTCGGTACGGGCTGAGCGATCGATCTCGAGGTCGTCGTCGGGGTCATCGGTACGGCGTGGGTGGGGGTTAGACACATGCGTTTGGAGTATTTGGCTGCTATACATTTCCGCGTGATAAGCCAACTTGTTGAGCTATCATTTGTGGCCGGGTCGCTTCTGAAAGAGAGTTATATAGGTCAGTGGGCCTTGGGATAGTTTTCAGGGGTATGGCAGCGTGGTTAGAAGTAATGCTTGGCTGGTAGGTTGGTGATAGGTTCTGTAATATGGAAATTATTTAGTGATGCAGCGATTGGCATGGACCACGAGCACAATACAAATGTAACACATTCGTCAATAACACCGCCTTAAATTAGGCAACGTATCAGGCAATGGCCCTTCTTCATAGCGCACTGTGCAGAAGGGCCATTAATGGTTTTCTTGAAGGCGGCTCTGTACTCTGTGTGTTGATTGGATAGTGTTGATGTGGCTGCTCACATGGCTGCTTTTCGGTGACGAGCGCGCGCTCATCCCCGCGTGCGTGTGCAGTTCCAGGCGAACGTGGACGGCTGGTGCAAGGCGTGCGGCGAGGGAGCTCTCCCCAGCGACATCCACTCGCTAGAAGCCGCAATCTTGCGCCACCAGGGCCTCTCCGATGAGATCGGCCAGGCCTACGCGGAGGTACGGACAAGGGCCTGTTAGACGACGTCCTAGAAAACAGGTGGCCGTTCTCTGAATCGATTGCCGGTTCTGAAAGTCAGGACCCGGTAACCGATTCCAGTGGAATGTTAGTAACGGGGAGCGCAGGTCCTCAGTTAAAAGGTGAAGGTGCAACCCTGCAATAGCTTGTTGCAGCTGGCGGAAGGGCCTCCACTAGAGGGAGCTCCGTAGGGTATTTGGTCTACTCTTCCACGCTTTGAAGAGGTAATCGTACCCACAATTTACCCCACCACACGCGACTTGCCGATAACGGTGGAGTTTTGAGAAACTTGCCCCATTGTTTCAACTGCCACGCCTGGGGATGGAATCGACTCAGTTAAAACGGTAAACACATTACATTTATTGTTTGAGACATTTCTATACGTGCGGCAAACCGGTAGTAACCGGTTTGTTAAAGAGTGTTTGCTCATGCGTTTACGGATGATGTAAAAAAAAAACTATTTAAACATCTCCAGTGCGGACGTCACTCACACCCACGCGCCGCAACGAGGACGACGCAGGCCGTGTGTGCACGGTCACGCACGGACAGCAGCGCACAGATGCCCGAGCCGAGCGGCCACCTGGGCAAACGTTCACGGGCTTGGGCACAGCCGCAGAGGTGTTGAGACCTTGGATCCTGTGTATACAGGTGTCGGTGCGTGGGGGAGCGGTGGCGCAGTGGTTAGCACACCATGCCAAGAAACCAGAGACCAGGGTTAGATTTAATTCCTGCTCACGGCCAATATTGCTGACAAACATTTGAACCTCTCCTGGGTCTCGGGCATAGTGGCCACCCACTTTGCGTGTGTAGTTGTTTGTACCGGTGTGTTCTCGTGCGTCGTAATGTAGAGGTCTGCTCACTGCGCTGTGAACCGAGCTACCTGAATTAAATTCCTGCTTGCGGCCAACACCAGTGACGATTATCTGAATCGGTCCTGAGCCTCCCCTAGGTCGACTCATCCTCGTGCGCAGTGTCAACCTTCACATGTGCTCGCTAATAGCACTTGTCAGGAGAGTCTGTTCAGGCTGTAGGGAGAATCATTGTATTTGTGCAGGTGAGCAGAGAGGGTAAATCTCTGCTGGAGAAGCTGCAGCGACCCTTGAGCCCCGGCAGCGCCGAGTCGCTCACGGCCTCTGCAAACTACTCGGGCGCCGTGCAGCTCATCCTCGACTGCGTGCATGAGGCGCTGCACAAGCACCGGCAGCTTGAAGCCCTCTGCACGCTACGCAAGCTGCGCCTGCACCAGCGGCTGCAGCTTCTCGTCTTCAAGCAGGACGTCAGACAGGTGCCCACTATGCGTGATGATGCCTGTGCTTGGCCCCGGGGCAAACCAAAGGCGAGGCCGTGAGCCCGCGGTGGCTTGTGAGCTTGGCAATAGAGATGGAACAGAAGGGAAAGGCGAGGTGGAGGTGGGGGTTGATCACGCCTTCACAGCTGCATGGGCCTCTGGGGAAATATACGCAACGGCTGAAATTCTGAATCATCTCGTCGTACCTATTCACATCTCATTACATCTCCTTAGAGTCTGTCTGTTGCTCCTTGATACAATGCGCTAGATTTACAGGGTCTGTGCGCAGTTTGGAAGGGTGCCCAGTAGACTCCTGGTGGTAAATGCCATGACTGTGATAATGTTAGGTGTGGCAAGTACGGTGCAGTGTGGTGCAGTATTGTGTGTGTGTGCATGCATTGGTGAGGGGACTGCGCTACGAACCCGGGAACCCGAGTTCTATTCCCACTCATGGCAAATATTTGAACTTGGTCCTTGGCCTCACCTGCTTCGACTCAGCATTTAAATTAATACTTGGGATGGTGTGAAAATATCAGCACTGGGGAGACAAAGGCGGCCGGGCATGGTTTTGGTCACCCACTCCCGTATGTGCCGTCCCGGCCTTTATAAGTGCTCACGAACAACACTTGGCCCTAAGAGTCTGTTAAAGGCTGTACGGGGGATCATCCGTCTCTGTGTGCATCGTAGGTGCTGGAGTGGATTGACACGCACGGGGAGACGTTCCTCAGCAAGCACACCGGGGTGGGCAAGTCGCTGCACCGGGCTCGCGCGCTGCAGAAACGCCACGCCGACTTCGAGCAGGTCGCACAGGTCCGTGGACACGTGCAGGGCACGTACGAATGATGCTTACGTGGACTCGGTTTTTAGCCAGGTCACAGCCCAGCGAGACAAAGCTCTCCTTTGCAAGGGACACTGAAAACTGAGCGAGTGTACGGTACAACTCTATTTGTCGACGGCCGTTGAAACAACGGTGCAAGGTTATTAATCTCTTCCCTTGCCCGATCAATAGGTCGCGTGCAGTGGGGTAAAGTGTGAGTGCTCCTACCTCTTCCAAGATGTATGGCCAGTGTGGAAGAGTAGGCAGAAACACCCTCTAGAGGGGCTCTCCATAAGTTCATCTCGTGGAGGCCCTTTTGGCAGCGGTGGCATGAGCAATTCATTTCAGGGCTGCACCTGTACCCTGTTTTAACTTATTTCAGTGAGGAGATCGAGCTGCGTATTTGAAAGCTCGGCAACGACGAAGTCCAGCGCTTCTGCGAAGCAAGGCAATTCCTAAGTGGCCCAGAGCAGATTCCCTCCATCACTTAACATAGGAGGAGACACATTGCTGATGGTCTGGGTCTTGCCTGCAACCTCATTACCCCGTGACCCTGTGCAGAACACGTACGTGAATGCGGAGAAGCTGTTGGAGGCAGCGGAGGCACTGGCACAGAGCGGGGAGTGCGACCCCGAGGAGGTCTACTGCGCGGCTCACGCCCTGGAGGAGCGCGTGCAGGACTTTGTGCGCCGTGTGGGCCAGCGGAAGCTGCTGCTCGACATGTCCGTGTCCTTCCACAACCGCGTCAGCGAGGTGTGCGGCACAGGGACACCGCCGCGGCGCCACGCGCTGAGCAACGCGACCTTCGCTTGCGTGCGACTCGGCCTCCAACGAGTACCTGGTGCAGCGTGTGAAATCATCTACTGGGGAGACGAAGGTGGTCGGGAGTGTTTCTGGCCACCCACCCCCTCGTGTACCGAGCCGCTTTGCATAGGGTGTTCGCTAACAGCACTTGCTCCAACAGTCTGTTAAGGCTATACGAGGAATCTTTGTCTTTGTACCCACGCACGCATGAAAGTGCACCTAGTATGGCACAAGCGCCGTGGTAACGTTGCCGCCACTTAGCGGCGAATTGCGGTTGTTGTTGCACGTGGGGAGCGGTAGTGCAGTGGTTAAAGCACTGCACTACGAACCCCGCAGTCCGAGTTCGATTCCCTCTCATGTCCGTCGTCAGTGATGGATATCTGAACTGGTCCTGGGCCTCCTCTATGGCGACTCGGCCTTGAATGTGTGTCCGTGGCGTTGTGTGTCAACATCAGTGTTGGGGAGACGAGGAGGCCTAGCTTGTTGCTGGCCACCCACTCTCTCGTGCGCCGTTCCAACCTTCACAGGTGCTCACTATCAGTGCTTGCCCCAACAATCTGTTCAGGCTACATGGGGGCGGGGTTCCTTGTTCTTTGCGTGCAGCTGTGGGGCTGGCTGGAGGAGGTGCAGCACGACGACGCCCTGGAGGAGGCCGGCGAGAGCGGCGACGCGGAGGCCGTGCAGGAATTACTCTCTGATTGGCGGCGGCGGCAGCACAGCACCCTGGAGGCGATCGCCAGCGTGGCACGCGAAGGGGACGATCTCATACAGCAGCTGCGGTCTGTGTTCAATTACTCACACGCATACCACACATCATGATACACACACACACGTCATAATACATACACACACGTCAAAATTCACACACAAAACAAAGACAAAGATGCCACATATAGCCTTTAACAGACTGTTGGGGCAAGTGCTGTTAGCGAGCACCTATGGAGGCTGGCACGGCACACGAGGGGGTGGGTGGCCAGCACCACGCCCGGCGGGTTTTGTCTCCCTAGTGACGATGTTTACACATCGCACCAGGTACTCATTTGAGGCCGAGTCGACCTAGGGGAGGCCCAGGACCGATTCAGATAATCGTCACTGGTGTTGGCCATGAGCGGGAATAAAACTCGGGTAGCCGGGTTCGTAGCACTACCGCTCCCCGCAGGCCTACTTGTACACACACGCCGCACGTGTGCACACAATCACACGCAGCCGCACGCGTTCACTTAAGCTGCGTTGGAGCCCCGCAATTCCATTACGTAACCATCTGACATTCGGTACAAGGAACGCATTAAATTCCACTCTGATTAAATCAATGTTGCCTGTAGTTTATAGAGGACCTTTGTATGGCCCGTCTGGTGCAGTCAGTGGAGCGGTATTTCTTCGCGTTAACACTGCCGCACCGCCGTAGGATGCCCTGCGGGAATCCGGGCCATGTCATCTCTAATCGGAGCGACGTGTAACGCCGCTCGCACTGGGGCAGGGTTTGAGCGGCGTGTTTATGGCTCCGCTCGATCTCGTCCCGTAGCCAGGGGCGCACCGCAGGAACGCTCCTTAGCACGTAACGCGCTTCCTGTGTCATGGTGCCATTCGGTAATCTTTTTCATTTGTATGTATGTTGAAATTCTTTCGCACTGTGGCCAACCGTACTAATTGGAGGTGAAGGACAACAAATTAGACACAAATCAGTTCGAAACAAATGAGTTTACAATCTAGATTGAAAAGTACATCGGTGTAGTGGCTTCCTAATATCGGAAGGAAGAGCATTCCAGATGGCCGCAGAAGCGCATCTGAAAATACCATCTCTGCTGAAACAGAGGAAGCCTTGGATTGTGAAACCGGCTTGACTCATCACAGACAATAAACCAGGATAAATAGATTGAAGGTAAGGCTAGCAGCCCCATAGGTGAGGTTAGACTAGTCCAGAGGCCTAATAGATTATGTTAAAGGCCTTATAAGTTGGTCAACATGCCTCGTGAAACAGAATAATGGCTATAGCGTTTTTGCTGTTTATCATTGGAAGCTGCAGGATATTGGTTTTCACACGCAGACTGTGCTCATTGAACTCATCCCAAAGGACACGGTCCTTGTCACGCCAAGAGATGGCAATACCGATGCACGTGTCGTGGTTCCCGTTCAAAAAAAGATTTCCTGTATAGCCCGACCGCCTTTGTCTCCCCAGTGGTGATATTTACACAACGCACCATGGTACAAGTGTAAAGACAGTGCGGAGCGATAGCGGGACAGTATGGTTCCCAGGGACCATGCTTACTAATGGACGTGCTCATGGTGATTGACGGGACGAGCGTTGATAGGGTCACGTGAGGGGGAGCACGGCGGTGATTGACAAGAGCAGGTGCGGCGAGGAGAACCAGCGCGAGCCGGGGCTGTTGGGTGTGGGGAACCGTCCTAGTCGTCGTCGCCTTTGATCGGGTCGCCTCCATCGTCTGCGAGTTGTCTTTAGACTAGCAGCTACGTTGTCTCTGAGTAGAGTTGTCTCACTACAGTGTACGGAGTCACTCATGGTTACCTGTTGAGTTGTCAGTGGACTTTGTTCATAATAAATATACCGAGGACAGGACGGTGCCTCGGAGAGCTACATGAGACAAGTATCCCTCGATTTACCGAAGGGATGCATTCTTCAAAAAGCACACAATGAAATTGCCTAAATCGGAATGGATTTTCCCATTAATTTAATACTAAAGACAATGGATGTTTTTTTTTTTCTGACAGTTATTCATACTCTACTCCTAACCTAGAAATATGCACGCAATACGGAAAAAAGAACATAAATATTGAACACTAATTTAAAAAAAAACTCAACATGTTGCCACCGCGACCCTCGCCAGGACAAGCGGATTGGGAAAAGAACAAACGAACGGATTATCGCCGAGAGAGCTGCTGCATGTTGGAATGATTGGAGAGGTGATGTGTCGCAGACGGATGACGCAGCATTCCGGATAGCTCTTGTTTGACAAGTATCCGGTTCGGATAACCGCCGTCTTTCCCATGAACGGGAATTGAACACGGGTCGCCGAGTTCATAGCACAGCGCGCTAACCACTACACCGCCACTTTCCACTAAAGATCCCATTGACCTGCGTGTGTCTTTGTGCGCTCGTGCGCGTAGGACGGGTGGAGGAGCGCCCCATGCCAGCTCGCTCGCGCACCTGCAGGCCGTGCGGCGGCAGCTGGAGGAGGCCACGGCCTCCATGGAGGACTTCTTTGACGAGCGCGGTGTCCGGCTCCAGCTCCTGTTGCGCTTCCGCTCGTTCGAGCGCGAGGCCACTGAGGTTTGTGTATGTGTGTGTATGTATGTGTTGGGGAGCAGTTAGTGCGTTGCGCTTTGAAACTGGCGATCCGAGTTAGATTCCCGCTCACGGCCACCAACACCAGTGACGATTTTTTTAACTGGTCCTGGGCCTCCCCTAGGTCAACTCGGCCTTAAAGGAGCACCTGGTGCGACATGTAAACATCGCCACTGGAGAGACAAATGCAGCCGGGCATAATGCTGGCCACCCACCTTCCTCGTGTGCCGTGCCGGCTTTAATAGATGCGCGCTAACAGAATTTGCCCCAACAGTCTGTTGGAGGAAGTGCTGTTAAGTGCTGTTCAGGCTATACGGGGGATCTTCGTCTTCGCTTAATTTGTATACTTGGTCTTTATGTTGTTGCTCGGAGTCTTGCCTGGTTTAACGAAATAAACCTGAAACTCGCGCACCGTGCGGTTCCCGCGTCCTGGCGGCCACGCAGGTCATGTCCTCGCTGTCCGTGTGGCACGAGGAGATCGAGCGCCGCTCCACCGAGTTTTCCACCGAGGACCCCACGGAGGCCGAGCGCCGCCTGCGCTTCCACTCCGACAAGTCGCTGGGCCTCAACAACCTGGCGCTGGACCTGCTGGCGCAGGGGCAAGGGCTCATGCAGTGCATGCTGGAGGAGCAGGCCGCAGGTCAGCCGCGTCGGCGCTTCATTGCCTCCGCTGCGGACTCTGCAGCAGCGTCCATCCTTCGATCGTTTGAAACTGAGTAAAGTTTTTTTCCGGTTGGAGGTGTTATTCGGCTAAAATGGTCATGCTGGGTGAAACGTGCGTGCCAGGATGGTGACAACCACACAGACATTAGAGCGGTCTCCACAAGTCCAGCAACCAAAAGGCAGCGATGACCTCAAAGCGGATGGGGGAAGACTGTTAGGGCAGATCTTGGAGGTCGCAGCAGTGGCAGAATCTGTGTGTACCTGTAACTGAGTGTGTGTGTGTGCATGTCGACTCAGCCTTAAACGAGTACCTGGTGCGGTGTGTGAACATCACCACTGATGTTTGTGCATACGTGCGCGTGTGTGGTTGTCACCAGGCCTGGAGGTGGTGTGCGAAGGGGACGTGGATATGTGCGTGCGTGTTCAAGAGCTGCTCCAGTGCGTGCAGGAGCGCAGGCTGCAGCTGGAGGGGAGTGCAGACCTGCACCGCCAGCGCCTCGAGCAGTGCCTGCAGCTGTGCCAGCTCCAGGATGAGGTCAAGCAGGTGCTGGCCCTCACCCGACCTCGCGCACGCATGCACGCCGCCCCGCACAGCAACAACAACGATAGCCGCCTTTCAGCACGCAGTTGCGGTGACGTCACCACAGTGCTTGTGCCAGGCTAGGTGCACGTTGAGGCCATCACGTGAAGTGTGGATGGCTCGCTGGCAGGGGGTCACAGGACAGAGCCAGGTGCTATGGGTTGCCTGGATCAGAGAGCAAACGCAGGTTAGTGACATCGAGTCAGTGGGCTTGGACAGGACATTGTGTCCACGAGGATGTTTAACGAGGAGCTTGAGCAAAGAGGTGAGTTTATGCGCAGGAATTGGATGGGTTGTCGCATCATGAGACCATGAGAAATGGGGGCGGCCTGGGGAGACCTTCATCCAGCAGTGGATTGATCATGGCTGTTGCTAATGATGGTAATGACTGAGATGACTGGCTGGGAAGGAGAGGCTACCATTCCCCTGTCTCGAGCTGGACCGGTAACACCTGCATCTCTGTGGGATGAAGGAGGCCCGGCGGATGGGTTCCGGCTGCAGTCGCCACGAGGAGTGGACAGTCTTCCCACCAACGCGGACGCACGCATCTGCCCGTGCCTGCGCCCCCTTGACCCAGCGTCCAAGCTCCCTCCTCGGTGCTCGTCGGCCCCGTGCTGCTCGCGCCGTGCCCTGTCCGCTGCCCCCTCTCACGCTATGTCTCCCCCCAGGTGTTGAGCTGGATCCGTAATGGGGAGTCGATGCTCAACGCTTCGCTGCTCTCGGCCTGCTCGCTGGAGGAGGCCGAGTCGCTGCAGAGGGAGCACGAGCACTTCCAGGTCGCTATCGAGGTACGCTCGCACGAACACATATAGTTAAGAGTCAAGTCAAATTCCACATTCCTATGGCGTGGGTGAGCTATCCATAGGACAACCGCTATTGACTTCCCCGCAAAATGGTGCTCATGTTGGTGACCCCGGAGGGTTGATCGGCTGAGTCAACCCCTCAACCAGGAGTTGAACTTGTAACTTGATCACGTGCCACTCGCTCTACCGCTGAGCCACCTGGTCCCATACAGTACATAAACACACACACGTACAGTGAGGGAAAAAAGTATTTGATCCGCTGCTGATTTTGTACGTTTGCCCACTTACAATGAAATGATCAATCTTTAATTTTAATGGTAGGTTTATTTGAAAAGTGAGAGACAGAATAACAACAAAAAAATCCAGAAAAAACGCATGTCAAAAATGTTATAAATTGATTTGCATTTTAATGAGGGAAATAAGTATTTGACCCCCTCTCAATCAGAAAGATTTCTGGCTCCCAGGTGTCTTTTATACAGGTAACGAGCTGAGATTAGGAGCACACTCTTAAAGGGAATGCTCCTAATCTCGGCTTGATACCTGTATAAAAGAGACCTGTCCACAGAAGCAATCAATCAATCAGATTCCAAACTCTCCACCATGGCCAAGACCAAAGAGCTTTCCAAGGATGTCAGGGACAAGATTGTAGACCTACACAAGGCTGGAATGGGCTGCAAGACCATTGCCAAGCAGCTTGTTGAGAAGGTGAGAACAGTTGGTGCGATTATTCACAAATGGAAAAAACACAAAAGAACTGTCAATCTCCCTCGGCCTGGGGCTCCATGCAAGATCTCACCTCGTGGAGTTGCAATGATCATGAGAACGGTGAGGAATCAGCCCAGAACTACACGGCTGGGATCATAGACACCAAGAAAACAATTGGTAACACACTACGCCGTGAAGGACTGAAATCCTGCTGCGCCCACAAGGTCCCCCTGCTCAAGAAAGCACATAAACATGCCCGTCTGAAGTTTGCTAATGAGCATCTGAATGATTCAGAGGACAACTGGGTGAAAGTGTTGTGGTCAGATGAGACCAAAATGGAGCTCTTTGGCATCAACTCAACTCGCCGTGTTTGGAGGAGGAGGAATGCTGCCTATAACCCCAAGAACACCATCCCCACCGTCAAACATGGAGGTCATTGTTATAATTCAGTAGGCTCACATGACATTGACTTTTCCAAGACAAAGGTTATTTGTAAGCCATCTGGCTGCCATGAGAGATTCGTTCATGAGGCTATCCACATATACAAACACAGAGACAATTTCAACCGAGAAGATGGATTCTGGCTTAGCAATCATTGGAAAGATTTGATAAACCATTTCAGGTCTTAATTGATTGTTCACGCTTACAGTGGCTTTCAGACAGCATACTTTAATTTTTCGTCTCCCCCCTCCTCTTTTCAGAACATAGATGGACTCGTCCTTCTAAATAAACTGCCAAATCGCTGTGCGTGGCGCTGACGGTTTTTTATAAATAAATAAATACACCGTTTAAAATAAATAAATTTATGCAAACCGACACACCTGATGACGACCGTTTGTGTTATGGTCGAAACGTCGTGAGAATTTTTATTGTTTTATATATATTTTATTATTTTATTGTTTCCCTTCAACGTGACTTAACCGAAAGAGCTAAGAATATGGGACAGGACAACCTCACCGCATCAAAGGGACGATGGACGGGGCCATGTACCGTCAAATCTTGGGTGAGAACCTCCTTCCCTCAGCCAGGGCATTGAAAATGGGTCATGGATGGGTATTCCAGCATGACAATGACCCAAAACACACGGCCAAGGCAACAAAGGAGTGGCTCAAGAAGAAGCACATTAAGGTCCTGGAGTGGCCTAGCCAGTCTCCAGACCTTAATCCCATAGAAAATCTGTGGAGGCAGCTGAAGGTTCGCGTTGCCAAACGTCAGCCTCGAAACCTTAATGACTTGGAGAAGATCTGCAAAGAGGAGTGGGACAAAATCCCTCCTGAGATGTGTGCAAACCTGGTGGCCAACTACAAGAAACGTCTGATATCTGTGATGGCTAACAAGGGTTTTGCCACCAAGTACTAAGTCATGTTTTGCAGAGGGGTCAAATACTTATTTCCCTCATTAAAATGCAAATCAATTTCTAACATTTTTGACATGCGTTTTCTGGATTTTGTTGTTATTCTGTCTCTCACTGTTAAAATAAACCTACCATTAAAATTATAGACTGATCATTTCTTTGTCAGTGGGCAAACGTACAAAATCAGCAGGGCATTAAAATTATAGACTGATCATTTCTTTGTCAGTGGGCAAACGTACAAAATCAGCAGGGCATCAAATACTTTTTCCCTCACTGTATGCACGCACGTGCTCACAAATTCACATACGTGTGCACATGCACACACATGCGTATGCACAAAACACAGACCCCCAACTATTTGATAGCTTTAGTGACTGTTAGCCACGAGGTGTTCACGAATACCTATGAAGGCTGGCCTGCCACATAAACGGTGGTGTGGCCAGGACCACGCCAACCCAGCTTTGTTTTCCCAATGGTGATGTTTACACATCACACTCATGTATACACAAATACACGCACACATACATGCACAACAAAGACAAACATCCCCTGTATAGCCTGAACACACTGTTGGGGCAAGTGCTGGCTAGCGAGCACCACGTTACACACAGATCACACACATGCACACACAGGTGGTGTAAGGGCTCTTCACCCATGCACAGTTTGGGCGTCCCCTCCCTTCGACCACAAGGTGCGGTTACCTCTGACCTCTCCGCTAACCCTGTGGGCCAGGTCACTGTTGCTCTTGCCGCTGCTGCTGCTGCAGTGTTACTGTTATTGCTGCGCCACTCTCTACTCTGTGCCGTCTGTGCTCCTCCTTTGGCTGCTTCTGGTGCAGGGGGTGTTACAGGGAGCGGTGGTGTATCGGTGAGCGCGTTGCGCTACGAACCCGGCCACCCCACTTCGATTCCCGCTCACGGCCAACACCAGTGACGATTATCTGAATCGGTCCTGGGCCTCCCCTAGGTCCACTGAGCCTCAAATGAGTACCTGGTGCGGTGTGTAAGCATCGCTACAGGGAATACAAAGGTGGTCGGATGTGGTGCTGGCCATCCGCCGCCTCGTGTATCGTTCTAGCATTCATAGGCACTCGCTTATAGCACTTGCCTCAACAGTCTGTTAAAGGCTATATGGGAGATCTTTGTCCTTGTTGCTGGGGGTGTCTGGGAGCCTGGCCCTCTCAAGCCTGGGTAGACCCCCTGCTCAGCCCTAATTCAGCCTCTCAGCATTTATCCACTCAGGCAGCCCAAGGGGAATGGATAGACTTCTGAGAGTTGCATTTTTTACTTTACACGTTCTAGAAATTATCGCTTTGTTTTTGGTTTAAAATGACCTGAATGCACTCGTAATGATGACAGTCTCACCGACACCGCTCTGTGCAGCCCCCCCGTGCTTTCAGGTGGGTCGGGCAGGAGATGATTCCCCCAGACCGTCGCGCAGGCTCTTGTGCTGACCTGCCGTGACCATGCCGACCGTGTGGCCGTGCCCCAGAGGCATGAGCCGGTGTCACTTTGAGGAGCTGCGGCCGAGGCTGCCCCTCGTAGGAGCCGTCGGAGCGCTCCCTGAAGCGCGATGTTCCCTCAGCTCTGCGGCGCAAGGCACAGCTGCCCCCGACCTTCATCCAAACCTGAATTGCTTCGGTTCTTGGCCGTGTTCGTATCGTGCAGTTGCCCCGGGTTTTCCTATGCCGATAGCCGGCAAAACGTGCGGTGAGCAACGCCGCCCGGACGCGCTGCTGCCGCCGACTCGTCTGCGGATCCACCAGTCTAATGAGCCGGCATGGCCACAAAGCTGGGGGTTTAAAATCTCTTGCAATGCCCCGTCGAGCCGGGCGGCCGGTCGGCGTCGCGGTGACCTGCGCGTGTCCCGCGCCGGGCCCGCACTGCACGGGGGACCTTGCCCTCTCAGCTCTCCTAATGGAGCCGTGTGTCCTGCCCCCGTGTCCCCTCCTCACTCCCACCTCATCCTCGTTTCCTGCCTGCTCCTCGTGCCCATCTCCTCCTTCTTGCACTGGCCATTGCTCGGGGGCCTTGTTTTACTTTTATCGTTTGGCGCTTGGTTTTGAAATGCACTTCCACACCCGTGCACGAACACATCCCCACCGCTCCTTCCCTCCGGAGCCTCCGTCGCTCTGCCGTTTTGGTTTTGCCTTTTGAACATCAACCCTCACCTTCGCCACCACCGCCGCCACCACAATCCCGACCTCCCTGCACATCCCACCTGCCCCCCCCTTCCCCACCCGCACGTGGCCCATCACCCCAGTCGCTGTTTCCCGACCGCTCCCTGCAGCAGACGCACCAGAGCGCCCTGCGCGTACAGCAGCGGGCCGCCGCCCTGCTCGGCGCGGGCCACTACGCCACGGACGCCGTGCGCTCGTGCGCCGAGATGGTCGCCCAGCACTGGCAGCGGCTGCTGCTGAGGGTGGAGGACCGCCTCAAGCTCGTCACGGCCTCGGTCGCTTTCTACAAGACCTCGCAGCAGGTGAGCGTGCACGCTCGCTCGCACGCTCGCACGCTCACACCCACCCATGTGAACACGATTCACCGCAATCGCTCCCTCGATCACCACTCTTGTCTATCACTTCTACTACCACGGTTACTCTGCCTGGGAACTTCGCTCATTTAATCCTCCGTCCGCGTTGAGGCTTCGGTTCTACCACTCTGACCGTTTCGTCCCGTCCACACCGTGTTCAATCACCACACTGTAGGTCACGAGACTTGTCTTGTTAAAAAAAAAAAGAAACGGAGCAATGCGAGGTGGCCCGACTGTGAAGGCTGTGCACAGCCCGACGTTGAGCGTCAGCCCGGCCCTGCGTAGGTCAACCGAGGTGTTTGTCTCGCCAGGTGTGCTCCGTGCTGGACAGCCTGGAGCAGGAGTACAAGCGCGAGGACGACTGGTGCGGGGGCTCGGACAAACTGGGCCCTGGCGCCGAGAATGATCACGTGGAGCCCATCATTCACAAGCACCTGGAGCAGAAGGAGGCCTTCCTTAAGGTAGCAGAGGTTTGGGTGGAGGCTGTGATTGTGGGGACTGTGACGGCAGAGGCTGCCTCTGTGAAAGCTGCTATGATGTGGGGATTGTAACAGTGGAGTCCGTGAGGGTGACAGTTGTGATCGTGCAGACGATGGTTGATTTTGATTGTGATGGTGCAGACGATGGTTGATGGGGGTTGTGATGGTGGAGTCGATGGTTGATGTTGGTTGTGATGGTGGAGTCGATGGTTGATGGGGGTTGTGATGGTGGAGTCGATGGTTGATGGAGGTTGTGATGGTGGAGTCGATGGTTGATGGAGGTTGTGATGGTGGAGTCGAGGGGGGTTGGGGGTTGTGATGGTGAGGTCTATGGTTGATGGGGGTTGTGATGGTGGAGTCGATGGTTGATTTTGGTTGTGATGGTGGAGTCGAGGGGGGGGGGTGGGGGTTGTGATGGTGGAGTCGATGGTTCATGTTGGTTGTGATGGTGGAGTCGAGGGGGGGGGTGGGGGTTGTGATGGTGGAGTCGATGGTTCATGTTGGTTGTGATGGTGGAGTCGATGGTTGATGTTGGTTGTGATGGTGGAGTCGATGGTTCATGTTGGTTGTGATGGTGGAGTCGAGGGGGTGGGGGTTGTGATGGTGGAGTCGAAGGAGTTGTGGGTAACAATTCCTGCGGCCCTGGCAGGCCTGCACGCTCGCGCGGCGCAACGCCGAGGTCTTCCTCAAGTGCATCCACAGGAACAGCGTGACGCAGCCCGGCTTCCTCAGCCCCGCCCGCGGCCCTGAGCAGCAGGTCAAAGGTCAGCACTCTGTACGGGTTGCCTCTGAACCCCGCCGCGTGAACCCGGTGTTTTGTTTCGCGTTGTGTATTTGTTGTCACCAGGTGGCGCCGTCGGCGTTGTTTGCGCGCATCCCAAATTTCCCCTGCACCTTTTGCGTATCGCAGCCCGTGCGCCCTGCCCTCAAAGATGTGCGTGCCGTGCGTGGGGGTTTGTGGGCCGTGTTTAGTGATCCTGGGGGAGCTGCTGCAGAGAGAGAACCGCGTCCTGCATCACTGGACAGTCCGAAAGCGCCGCCTGGAACAGTGTCAGCAGTACGTGCTGTTCGAGCGCAGCGCCAAGCAGGTGCGACCACGCAGAGCTGGAGACCCACACGTTACACGCCACTAGGTGGCAGTACCACAACACATTCTAAATGTCCGTCTTTGAGTGTTTTTTTTGTGTGTGTGTGGGTTTTCTCCGGGTTCTCGAGTTTCCTCCTGCATGAAGCCAAACCGCTTATTCATGGCATTGGCCAAACTTCTCAACACAGGAACCTCCTGAAGAAGTGCTGAGACTCCCTGAGGCTCTTCTGGATAATAGAAAGATACACACGGACACTGGCATTGCACATAGACGGCCAGCCAACAGCTCACAAGAGAGTAGAGTGTATCGCCCGGTCCCTGTGCGTGTGTGCTTGGGGAGACAAAGGCGGCCGGGCGCGATTCTGTCCACACCAACCTCTCGTGCGCCCTGATGGCGAACAGCACTGTTCAAGGCCATACGGGGGATGTTTGTGTTTGTATATGGGTCGATTTATTGCCATGGCTAACACCAGTAGCAAGTGATATGTGAACTGGTGTGTAGTGTAGTGGGGTGTACTGTGGTGTTAAGAGAGGTGTGTACTGTATAGTGTGGTGGAGCATAGTGGTAATTATATTATTTCTTGCGGGGAGCTGTAGTGTAGCGGTTAGCGTGCTCCACCACGAACATGGCGACCCGAGTTCGATTCCCGCTCACGGCCAACACCAGAGCTGGTCCTGGACCTCCCCTAGGGCGACTGAACCTCAAATGAGTACCTAGTGCGGTGTGTAAATATCGCCATGAAAGAGACAAAGGCGGCCGGGCGTGGTATTGGCCACCCACCCCCTTGCGTGCTGTGCCGACCTTTTTAGGTGCTCGCTGACAGTACTTGCCCCAACAGTCTGCGACGGCTATACGGGGGATCTTTGTCTTCATGTGGGTGTGCATGTGTGTGTGTGAACCGCTTAGGTGCTGAGCTGGATCCACGACACGGGGGAGTTCTACCTCTCCACGCACTCGTGCACCGGACAGACGCCCGACGAGAGCCGTGCCCTGCTGCAGGAGCACGACAGCTTCTCGTCCTCAGCCAAGGCACGCAACACACACGCACGCGCAATGGCACACGCGCGCACACTAGCACACGTGCACTAGCACACGTGCACTACCACATGCACACGCGCGCGCACTCGCAAACATCGGCGTGCGCGTGCTCACATTCGTGGGCATATGCACCGTGCGTGCGTGTAAAACTGCTGCTCGGTGCAGGAGGTGCGTGAGAAGGTGGTGCTGCTGGTGCGGCTAGCAGAGTCTTTCCTGGCCAAGGGGCACGCTCACGCCGTCGACTTCCGCCAGTGGGTCACGGCCGTCGACAAACGCTACCGCGACTTCTCCTGCCGCGCCCACAAGCACCGGGCCGCCTTGGAGGCCGCACTGGGCCTCCCGCCACAGGTGCCACCTCGTCCGTGTGCTCGGCAACGTCGGCGGAATACACCACGCTTGCCGCTGCTGCTGGGGATGGCGCGGATGCGTCGTCGCTGGCAATGGCCTCATCTGCATAGCTAAATAAATAGGCGGAAAAGACGCCCCCTGTCCCACATCTGTGATATGAAGCTTTTGTGACTGCAGGAATTCATACTCCTCTCCCTCCCCCCCTCGGATTAGCCGGGGTATGCTAGCTCTGTGATCTTGCATTCACTTGCTAATTCTATCCCTAGCCCCGCTCACTTGCCCTTGGGTTGTGCCCACCACAGGCGTGTGTGGCTTCTGGTTGCGGTGGCTCTCTCGCTACATTTCCTCCTGCCTCAGCAGTCCGCCTGCTGTGTTGTTTCACCTGAAGACGATGGCTTGTGTTGCTATTGAAACGTCGTGATTTATTAGTTATTTTTCTATCTACGTGACTTTACCGAAAGAACCAAAGAGTATTTTTTTTAAGTATCAGCCGTGCTGACTTCCTATATTCCACAACAATCCTCATGGTAATTTAATGTTGTGTATTATATAGTTTTATATTTAAATATGACCCGTACATTACAGAGAAGATCCTTGCCTAACATCTTGAAATTCTCCAGTATTGTTTCAAGCAAGCCTGACTGCTCATGAGATACTGTCAACGCTAATGATTATTCTATGTTATCTACGATGATAAATGTCGACGGAGCGATGGTCGCTCATCACCCAAACCTGCCTCAGCCATCGTCTAGGCTACTGATCACAAACCAAACAACTTGTGAACCTGATACCGATTTCTGCCCTAACCGTTAATCTTAGTCACGTCCGTTTGTTTCTGTCCGTGTGGCCCTCGGGAACTCGGCGTGTATAGAACGATCGCGACCTGCAGCTTGACACAGTCCCACTGGGGTTGGCCGAGTCGGGGGTTAAGCCTGAACCGGCCAATCAGAGCCTGCGGCCAGAGAGCGGCCCAGCATGCCTCACGGGGCCAGAGGTCAAGCTGCGAGACGCCAGTCACGAGCTCAACGAGGAGAAGAGGAAATCGGCGAGACGGAAAGAGTTGAGTCCCTCGCCACCTCCGCACAATGCTGCAGGGACCCGGGGCGCTCGGCGTTTAACTGAACAGCCACCTCTTGGGCCGCGAATGATGCGCAGAGCCACGGTGGGTGGATGTTGCGTGCCAGTGCAGGCAGGGATGAGCACAGGCCCAAAACGTCAAGCGGCCAGCAACATACTGCATCGTTAAAGTTGTAACAGATACTATTTTTTTTACATTTTCTTCAATTGAGCAAGGTTATAAATAGGTACTGGGAAAGGAGACGGTGGGAGGGAATTCCAAAATGAAAGAGTACAAAGGAAACCGAAAGGGAAGTGTTGTAACCTGCAGTGTGGTGGATGAGTGGATGAGTGTGTAAATGAGTGGGTTGTTGTAACCTGCATTGTGGCGGTTGAACACAGTGTGGATCAGATGAAGCAGTCAGTCTGATAGACCGATTCCTCATCATGAGTGAAGTTCACAGAAATAGTAACCATGGTAGTAGCTATTGAAGAGTGATAAGGAGGCGACTGGCCATCGGAGAGTGAGTTACTAGAGTGAATCTGGGATATGATAGCAGTGGCTTCCATCAGCGCTTTCTCCACCAGACAGGTCCAAGAACTGATTATAAGGAAGTCAAAAATTGGCGCATTATCTGACATGCTGTCTTCACGATCCAATCTGCTGATGCTGATGTGGTGATGGCTGCCGGCGTTGCCTTCAGGTTCATCATGGCGGAGCTGCTGCAGACGGAGAAGGCCTACGTGCGAGACCTTCACCAGTGCATCGAGGTGCTGCCCGCTGCGTCCACCGCACGCGCTTGCCCGTTTCACCTGCTTCCCTCGTTCGCTATTTGGTGTTCTCACTGTGAAGCTTTCGTGAGCGTTACTCTCGGTTGGAGCGTTCAGCGCAGTCCTGAGAGGAACTGCGTTGCATCATGAATGCAGTGCGTGGGGGTTGGGGTTGGTGGTAGTAGTGTGTTGTGAGGTAGCAGTGGTGGTAGTGTTGTGATGGTGTTGCGATGTAGTAGTGGTGTTGTAGTGTGTTGTGAGGTAGTGGTGGTAGTGTGTTGTGAGGTAGTGGTTGTGGTAGTGTGTTGTGATGGTGTTGTGAGGTGGTAGTGGTGGTAGTGTGTTGTGATGGTGTTGCGAGGTGGTAGTGGTGGTAGTGTGTTGTGAGGTGGTAGTGGTGGTCGTGTGTTGTGAGGTAGTGGTGGTAGTGTGTTGTGAGGTAGTGGTTGTGGTAGTGTGTTGTGATGGTGTTGCGAGGTAGCAGTGGTGGTAGTGTGTTGTGAGGTGGTAGTGGTGGTAGTGTGTTGTGATGGTGTTGCGAGGTAGTGGTGGTAGTGTGTTTTGATGGTGTTGCGAGGTAGCAGTGGTGGTAGTGTGTTGTGAGGTAGGGGTGGTAGTGGTGGTAGTGTGTTGTGAGGTAGGGGTGGTAGTGGTGGTAGTGTGTTGTGAGGTAGCAGTGGTGGTAGCGTGGTGTGATGGTGTTGAGGTAGTGGCGGTAGTGTGTTGTGACGGTGTTGCGAGGTGGTGGTGGTAGTGTGTTGTGAGGTGGCAGTGGTGGCGGTAGTGTGTTGTGAAGGTGTTTTGAGGTGGTGATGGTCGTGTGTTGTGAGGTGGCAGTGGTGGTGGTAGTGTGTTGTGATATGGTGGTAGTAGGACTGTGTTGTGATGCCACTGCGTGGCGGTGCAGACGTACCTGTGGGAGATGACGAGCGGCATCGAGGAGATCCCTCCGGGAATCATCAACAAGGAGCAGCTCGTGTTCGGCAACATCCGCGACATCTACGACTTCCACAACAAGTTCGTCCCCCCTCTCACACACTTCCCTCTCTGTTTGGAGGCCTCTTTACAGCCCTGCAGAGCCAGCGGTGGAAACTCAACATTCCACATGATAAGAACTGCTTCATTAGCACGGTTGGCTACGTACGAAAGAAGTTAAACTTACACACACACATTCCCATTATTCCTTTAGCGAGGGAGAATCTCTCCGTCGGACAACTACTGTTGGCCTCCTCAGCAGAGCGCGCTGCTCCTTTTGTCGAGGGCGCCATGCGTGTGTCTTGTGAAGCAACGGAACGCTGGCAGACGCACGTCACGCTGAGGGTGACGGGGTCGTGGCGCTCCCCTCCCCCGCCCCGCAGCATTTTCCTGAAAGAGCTGGAGAAGTACGAGCAGCTGCCGGAGGACGTGGGCCACTGCTTCGTCACCTGGGTGAGGCTGCGCCCTCCTCCCCTCTCTTGTCGCCTGCAGCACGCCTGCTTCGCCGCCTTCTCACGCGCCGCCTTCTCACGCGCCGCTCTCCCTTCCCTCTCTTGCGCGCAGGCGGACAGGTTCCAGATGTATGTGGCTTACTGCAAGAACAAGCCCGACTCAAGCCAGCTCATCTTGGAGCACGGGGGCACCTTCTTTGATGTGAGGGTTCCTGTGGTTTGTTGAATTTAGGAAGTGGCCGAGCAGAAAGCTCGGTTGCTCCTGCGTGCGTCGGAGCAAAGCTCTAGTGCGCTAATACGAAATATAATTATTTTTTATTGTTTACCCATGAATCGTACGAGTGTTTTTCACGACGGTCTCATAGTTGAAGCCAACAGTTGCTGCGTGTTCAAGTAGTTTTTGGTGTAATTTTTCTAAATGTTTGCATTTGGATTGTGACCCTGGCATGCACAAAGGCCGACCTTTTCCAAATGACGTCCCAGGGTCTTTAGCTTCCTCCGTGAGTAAAGCAGACTGGGAGCACGTGTGTGTATTACGGTTAATACACACAACCGCAGCATTAACCAGGGCGGCCAACCGGAGTCGAACCACAAACCACTGCAACAAGTGGCCATCACGCTGGGTGGGGGGGGGGTGCGGCGGTGGGCTGCGTTCACGCCATGATGGTTACCACCTTTGCCCGGTGGTACTCTCCCCGTGTGTGCGCAGGAGATCCAGCAGAAGCACAGTCTTGCAAACTCCATCTCCTCGCAGCTCATCAAGCCCGTGCAGCGCATCACCAAGTATCAGCTGCTGCTGAAGGTGCCAGCCCACATGGCCTCACACGCGTGCAGACAAAGACGAGCGACTTTGTCTCCCCAGTGCTAATGTTTTACACACTGAAACAGCTACTGGGACTTACGTTCATATTTCATCACCAATGTTAGCCGTGAGCGCGGAATCCATCTCGGGTCGCTGCGTTCATAGCACCGTGCGCTAACCTCTGCGCCGACGCGCCCCACACGATTGCTCACTTACGCACGCACACAACAACAGCAGCAGCAGCAGCCGCCGCCATTATCCACGAATCGGCGTTGACATCACCCCAGGGCTTGTGCCAGGTAGGTGCACTTTGAAGTTGTCGCATGAAGAGTGGAAGGCTCGCCACCACGAGGTGACGGGAAAGACCCCGGTGTTATGCGCTTGACTGACTTGAGATTGCTTCCGCGCGCAGGCACAGGCGTGCGTGCACGTGGAGTGGAAGCACCTCCGTGTTCTCACCGCAGGCGCGTGCGTGCCTGTCCTCTCCAGGAGCTGCTGACGTGCTGTGAGGAGGGCACGGGCGAGATCAAGGAGGGCCTCGAGGTGATGCTGAGCGTCCCCAAGAAAGCCAATGACGCCATGCATCTCAGCATGCTGGAAGGTAGGCCGCAGAGTCGGCGGACTTTCCCTTTTTATTTTTGAATCATTTGTCCAAGCAAACTTTTGCTACTCGTGACATTGTTTATGTTTGTGCACCGCTCTCAATCTTTTTTTGTTGTTTTTGCACTGATTTCTGTTTGTTGTTTTTGCTCTGATGTCCGTTTGTTTCATGATCGTGCTCTGTTGTGTGTTATCGCTTTTGTAATTTTGGTGCCTGGATGGGAATGTGCGTGCAGGTGTGTTGTTGTATCTTTGTGGGGGAAGCGGTGGTGCAGTGGGTTAGCGCACTGCACTACAAACTCGGGGGGACTCAAGTTCGATTCCTGCTCACGACCAACATTAGTGCCATATACCTGAACCTGTCGTGAGCCTCCCCTAGGTCCTCAATTGAGTGCCTGGTGCGGTGTGTGAACATCCGCACTGGGGAGACAAAGGCAGGCCTGGCGTGGTTCTGATCGCACAACCCCCTCGTGTTCCATGTTGGGCTTTCGTAGGCGCTCGCGAACAGCACTTGCCCCCCCCCCAGCAGTCTACCGAGGCGACAAGTGGTCTTTGTGTCTAATATCGGCGTGCCTGCTCGTGTGGGCGGAGTGTGCACGGGTCTGGAGGAGAGTGTGGCCGCTCAGGGGGAGCTGCTGCTGCAGGAGACGTTCCAGGTATGGGACTCGCGCTCTCTGCTACGCAAGGTCCGGGAGAGGCACCTCTTCCTCTTCGACATGGCCCTGCTCTTCAGCAAGGAGCAGAAGGACTCCTCGGGCAGGAGCAAGTACCTCTACAAGCACAAGATTCCTGTGGGTGACGCACCCCTCTCTGATTCGTGCCGCTTACCTGTATGTTTGTATGTATGTTGAACTTGTTTCGCACCGCGTAGCCAACCGTGCTAATCGGAGGGGTCCCTTACGCCCGGTCAGGTGTAGGCCGTGATGTGTGGGCGTCCGTTATCTACAAATATCTGCATCTAATTGCGCCTCCCCTTACTCTTACTTAACTCAACACCTCTGATTTTACTCAAACACGCAAAAAAATGCTCCACGGTCCCACATGCACAACAGTTTAACCGTCCCTCGAGATCAAACCCGCACAGGCACACTCTCGCTCAGAGCTGCTTCAGCATGGAACCACCTCCCAGACCCACCAACTCGTGCTGCCAGTCGCAGCAAGATTTAATTTTGTGATTAAAACTCGCTCACCACTCAATGTCTGCAACCGTCACAGAGGGAGTGCATTCTATTCAAACCAGCCGTGTGTACCACTAAATTCTGTATTCATTGTATGAATGCAAACTGCATAATTTATAGATCTAAAATAGCTGTTTGCATGTAAAAATGTTTTTTTACGTACGTGTGAGTGTTTATGTATGTATTAGTGTCGACTCAGCCAGTGGTAAGTGATGTATAAACTGGTGTATAGTGTAGTGGGGTTGACTGTGGTGTTGCGAGAGGGGTGTACTCTATCGTGTGGTGAAGCATAGTGGTATACCATTCCTTGTGGGGAGCGGTAGTGTAGTGGTTCGCGTGCTGCGTTACGAACACGAAGACCCAAGTTCGATTCTCGCTCACGGGCAACACCAGAGCTGGTCCTGGACCTCCCCTAGGTCGAATCAACCTCAAATGAGTACCTGGTGCGGTGTGTAAACATCACCACTGAGGAGACTAAGGTGGCCGGGCGTGGTGCTGGCTACCCACCCCCCTAGTGTACCATGCCCTCCTTCTTAGCTGCTCACTAGCAGCACTTGCCCCAACAGTCTGGTGTGTGTATGTTGAACTTCTTTTGCACCACCGTGCAAATCGGAGGTGCCGGGGCGTATTAGTGTATACCTGTGTGTATGCTTGTACGGGTGTCAACTCGTGTTTGCTGTGTGTCAGCTGACATCCTGCACACCCTTGCAAGCGAGGCATTCCATCTCAAGGGATTATCCGGGTGAATATTGCACTGAATACAGCGTGTGCGTTTGTGGCTCCCCCTCCCTCCCTCCCTCCCTCCCTCCCTCCCTCCCTCCCTCCCTCCCTCCCTCCCTCCCTCCCTCCCTCCCTCCTCCGTCCTTCTCCTCGCCCCCCCCCCCCCACAGACGTCGGAGTTGGGGGTGTCGGAGCACGTGGAGGGGGACCCCTGTAAGTTCGCGCTGTGGGTTGGTCGCACCCCCACGTCAGACAACCGCCTCGTCATGCGGGTGAGTTCCCTGGCGGCCAAACCGCCGCTTGTGTGGAGTCACGAAAGTGGCGGTGGGGGTGGGTTTTGTGACGGTCGTTGTGTGGTGGTTATTTTTGTGTAGTGTAGCAGCACTTGCAGCCATTATTACTCTGTTCAATCAAATCAGGTCCAAGTTATATTCTCAAAATGAGCAGCGCTCACCTCCCGTTTACTGCCCTGGACCAGTGGCTATTCCACATTCCTATGGCGGGAGTGAGCCTATCCATAGGACAAGCACTGTTCACTTCCCCACAAAGTGGTACTCGTTTTATCTATCCCTGAGGGGTGATTGGCTGAGTAAATCTTACACCAAAATGTTTAACTCGCAACCTTTGGATTGCAAGCCGCTCTACTGATGGCGGTTGTGTGGTGGTTACGTGAAGGTTATGCGGTTGTGGTGGTGGTGGTGGCGGCTGGGGTTGTAGCCTTCCTCTGTCGTGTGGAAATAGCAACTTTTACGAGGGAAGGGTTGTGACTAAAGCCTCATGGACTCTCAAGATCATCTTTTTTCAGGAGGATCCTGCGAAGATTTGACAGTAAGGAGCTACGATTTCTGTGTTTCACTCGGTCTTTAACGTCCACTGTGAAGCAGACAGCTCGTCGTATTGTACGGTCATTACACAGGCCGTACTTGTCAACGAGGGCAGCCCTCCAGATTCAAACCACAGACCTCTGCAACAAGCGGCGAGCACGACACGCTGTGCCGTGTAGATGGGTGGTGGCGGTGGTGGCAGTGGTGTTGTGCAAAGGTAATTGGTTGCGTGCGCGTACAGGCGTCCAATCTGGACACGAAGCAGGAGTGGGTGAAGCGCATCCACGAGGCGATCCAGGAACGCACGTTGCACCTGAAGGGGCCGCTCAAGGAGCCCATCCAGGTGCCACGTACTCCTGGGGCCAAGCACCGCTCCAGGTGAGGCAATGTGCAATGGTGTATTTATATTTGAGGTTTACACAGCCTTGGTTAACATTCACTCGACTCTCTTCGAGTGCAACTGCGCGTGTGACCTGGTTGCCGGGCATTGCGTAAGTCGCCCTCCTTCCACCTGGTCTCCGTTGTCCACAACGTGAAATGGTTAATTAGGAGTGGGAATGTAGCGTGATGGTGAATGTTTACCGGTGAGTACAGATGCTGTGATGCTCACAGATTGCCATTCTGTACCAATCTCTTGCTGGAGGCCGGGCGGGTGCAACAGCAGCAGCAAACACAGCAACACCAAAAGCAGCAGAATGGACAGCAGTAGCCGCAGATTGCACAGTGGCAACAGCAGCTGCGTAGGCTGCACGTGCTGCACCAGCTGCACGTGCTGCACCTTCTGCACATGCTGCACATGCTGTGCATGCTGTGCTCACTGAGTGCTGTGCCGGGCTCGGTGCTGTGCGCCCTGTGCGCTGTGTGATGCCATTTCCTCTGTGCTGGGTGCAGGGAGGGTGGAGAGGACGCAGACAGCCTCGGAGAGAGCAGCAGCCAGCCAGACACCGCCTCTCTCACGTCCCGCAACTCCCAGCTCACCGTGGACAGCGACCGGGTACTACTGCCTCATCGACAAATCACCACCGCTTTCACCGGCCAAACACACGCCGCTCACCAGCCACCCACACGCAGCATGACACACCACCCCAGACTGCTCCAGTCAACAACCACTCACACCCTCCAAACCTTTCACAGCACTCGCCAACCACCAACACATGAACCAGCTGCACACACACACATGCGTACGTGTGCACACACATTCACGCAAACCTTGCGAAGCCGGAGCCCCGTCGAATCTGTCCGGTAACTTCACTTGCAGCTGTATTTGACACGTTTACCTGCTGCCCCCCGCCAGCTGTCGGGTGGCTGCGAGATGACGGTGGCATCGCAGGACTTCTCTGCGACCAGCTCGGGGGAGCTGAGCCTGCGCAAGGGCCAGGTGGTGGAGGTGCTGGAACGCGGACGCGAACGTGCAGACTGGTGCCTGGTGCGCGTCGTCGAGGGAAGCACGTCATCCGAGGGCCTCGTGCCCTGCGCCGCGCTGAGCCTGCCGCTCTCGCGTAGCAGCCTCGACATGGACGGCCTCTCCTCCTCCGCCAAGGCCGGTGGGTTCCCGCCGATAGAAACCACGGTCGTCTCAAATGTGTAAATGACAAACTCGCCCATCGCGACGGGAATATTAGTGCAGGCTGAAACACACAAAAGGTGTGCATTGTTTGCACGCAAAAAAACGTTGCCTTCTCTAGGCCGCGTTGTGGCCTTATCTAGAACACATTTTCTCATCTTTTTGAGTTTGTAAATGACAAAGTAGGCACGTTCAGTTGTTTTTAGCTGTTGGTTTGGTTAAGGCTGAGTGTTTTTCTACATGCAATGCTGCACACCTTATTGTTGTCGTACGGCTGGTGGTCAAGCCAGACAACCACATCAGGAGCAGCGGAGTAGCGCATCACTGTGGTGTCTCCTTCATATTTGTGTATCGGGCATTGTGTCATTATATGTTCTTGTATGGTCTGTTCTGGATGACCACAGTCGTACACCGGAGAGTTTTTAATTTTCCATTGGTGTATCAGGTATCCGCATCTGCCACGATTCATGCAGATGCGGTTTAGAGTGGACCATGAACTTTGTGGAATATAAAATTCAGGGATTGTCTGCGTTGGTTCTTTCACAAGGTGTTTGCTTGTGAGTTCTTTTGAACTCCAATTATCTCTCCAAGCTTCATTGGGGTTTAATTCGCATTGTTGAAGGTTAAGCGCATGGGTCCAAAATAGGCTTGCGTAACTTCAAGCGATGAAGAGGGATGTTACTGAGGTCCTGATGAATGGGAAGGCGACTGTTTTCTTCGATTTGCAGGACTTCCTGGAGTGTTGCAGCATTGTGATGGATGGGTGGGGGAGAGATGTGTGATAACACGGTCAGCCACGGTGTTGGGGTTGTCTTGAGGCTTCCAGTGAGTGATACATGGCATTGCAGTGTTTAGTTGGACATCAACAAGTCGAGTGTGGCTACTTCTGGTCCAGACTGGTGCACAGTACTCTGCTACAGAGTACACAAGGGCCATCGTTGATGTCCGTAGCACTGGTGCTGATGCTCCCCAGTTTGTGCTTGCGAGTTTCTGGACCAGGTTGACCCATGTTTTGGTCTTGGCAGCTACCTTCTTCAGGTGGTCATGGAAGGTTAGCGTATGGTCCAGCTTCACTCCAAGTTAGGTTGAAGTGGGGTCGTGTCGCACAGTGTTGCCGCAGAAGGTCAGTAACTTTAGAGTGTGCTTGGTGCTCCTATTATCAAGACGTAATGCAGTGACTGTTATTTTGTGGGGGTTTTGCTTCAGCCTCCCATTTCTAGAAATATTCCCCCATGGTGTTTAGGCCTTGGTTCAGAGTAGATTCGATGTAATTTAAAGTGGGTGCTTGCCTTGCCAGCGCAAGGTAATCCGCATAAACAAATGTGTGACCCGGTTGGCGGCAATTTCGCTCATATAAACATTGAAGAGCGTTGGCACGGGTACTGAATCTTGTGGTAATCCACAGTTGAGGAACCGGGGTGAGCTGGCTTTGTCACCCACATAGACACGCAGTCGCCTATTGCTCAGCATTGTCCATATTAGGCATATTGTTTGAGGCAGGGAATGGTCCTTGCGAGCTTCAACATCAAGCCCTTAATTCAGACTGTGCCATAGGCCGATGACAAGTCCACGAAGACCGCACCAGTCTTGGATTTCTTCTTAAATCTGACCTCATTGTGCATCGCCAAAACTTGGTCACAGGAGCTACGTCCAGGCCGGAATCCCGCTTGTTCTTCAGGGATCACTTACTCGACAAGGGGGATAATTCTCCGGAGGATGATGGATTCCACGAGTTTCTAGGTCGTGCACAGGAGTGATATCGGCCTATAGCTTCCTGGGTTATTGGTTGGCTTGCCCCATTTGGGTATTGCAATAACCATTGCCCTTCTGCCATGCTTTTGAGATGCATCTGGTTTTCATAGTTTTGGTGTACAGGTTTACTAGCCATCGGGGGTCCCTGAGGACTGAAGTGACAGAGGAATTCTGGGGGGATACCATCTCTGCCAGCAGCCTTACCTTTCTTCATTTCAGCCAGACCCTTCCCTCACTTCCTCTGTGCCGAAGGCAGTGGAGTCTTGTGAAGAAATTGAGGCCAATGTCTGGTGTCATTGGTGATAGATCTCTCGCTTGATGTTCATATCGAGCGGTCCTTTTGTGTTTTTCACTAGTTTGGAGGTTATAGAGTTGGGCAGGACTCTTGCTGTCCGGTATTCTGTTGGGTTAGCAGTACCCAGATGTCGTAGTAGGGCCCAGGCATGGCGGCTGTAGTTTGTGAAGTCCAGGGCCTTCAACGCACTCAATCCACCGCTGACGTCTGGCTGAGTCTAAAGACTCTGGCAACCTGTGGGCTGCCGACTGGTTGTATTGTCGGAGCAGGTCCTGAGTCTCTTTTGTCTAGAAGGTAGTGGATTTTTTTCGGAAACCTTGGGGAATGCTCTTCTTAGCAGCTGCAGTAAGGAGGCCAACAAAACGGTGATAACGTTCCGGTGTCACGGGAATTCTACCCGACACTCTTTCTATGACCTCCTTATAGTGCTCCCAGTCATCTTTGGCCTGGTTCCATCTTGCTAATCGTTTTGACACAATCGCGGGGATTTCGATGCCGATGTGGGTGATGATGGGCCTCTGTTGACTTTTGGGGAAGCTTGGGAGTTTTTTGCGGGATGCGTGAAGTGTGCTCCCACTTTGATCTTTGGAAACGATGGTGAGCGCCGGGGTGTAATCACGTTGCCAGTGAGCAGAGTGCATGGGATCGAAAACCAAGTGCAGCTCTTCGGCAGCCATCTAGTCAGTGAGGTCTTTGCCGTCAGCCTGATCTACTCCATAGCCCAACATCGTATCGTGGCTGTTAAAGTCACCAACGTATAGGGCTGGGATTGGTGCACTTGGGAGCACTGGGAGCGCTGCCTTTGGCCATTTTTTTATAATTGGCTTTTACACATTGCAGTTCCCCTATCTTCATTCTGGTGGTGTCGGTGGCTTCTTTTTCAGTTGGTGGGAAGTCGTAGAACTCTTTGATGTGTTCTTCACGTATATGGCCAAGCCATATTTCTGGTGGTAATGGCTCATCGTGAGGTATCCGTGGATGTGATAGGGACTACCATGCAGGGCATCCAAGACGTGTATTTTTTGCAGTGTCAGCACATCAATGTTACGTGTTTTCTTTACGTTCGAGAGATGCTCGCACTTTGCCCGGGAGAGTCTCTCGATGTTCGTTTGTAGGATCCTTGTCCCAGGACCTTATCTGGCGCGTTGTTTGGCCCCGAAGAGGGGCCATTGGCGTGGCTCGTCTTGTTGTTCTGGAGACGAGGCTATCGATGTTCAGTCGCCACTTTGATGGCATTCGTCGCGATTTCTCACTTAACAGAGTGGGCCGCGTGAAGGCTGCCATCTTCCACCCCTGCTGCACACCTGCATGTCCTGTTAAAAACCACACCTGTTTGTAAACAAGGAAAGCAATTGCTGTCTCTTAACACGTTTCAGTTGATTTTGTTTGTCCAGCCGAGAGTTTGAGAGACCATAAGAGATTTTCATTTGCTAGAGGGAGCTAGAGTCACCAAAATAAGAAAAGCAACAACATGAAAACTTGAGTACTACAATAAATCAGAGGAAAAGCGACCACGTTAAAGAAGACATCGACAACGATGCACAAACATGATTAATAATACATATACCGTTGTAATATTAACACGTATCACAAATTGAGTCAGGGTATTATGGTAACTTGGGAAAAGAGACATTGATAGGGAATTCTAGAATGGAGCGGTTCGAGAGAGGAAGCAGAGAGAGAAGTGTCGTGACCTCAAGTGAATGGCGGTTGCTGTTACCTGCAGTGTTGTGGCGGTTGCTGTGACCTGCAGTGTTGTGGCGGTTGATGTGACGTGCAGTGTTGTGGCGGTTGCTGTGACGTGCAGTGTTGTGGCGGTTGATGTGACCTGCAGTGTTGTGGCGGTTGCTGTGACCTGCAGTGTTGTGGCGGTTGATGTGACGTGCAGTGTTGTGGTGGTTGATGTGACCTGCAGTGTTGTGGCGGTTGCTGTGACCTGCAGTGTTGTGGTGGTTGCTGTGACCTGCAGTGTTGTGGCGGTTGCTGTTACCTGCAGTGTTATGGTGGTTGCTGTGACCTGCAGTGTTGTGGCAATTCCTGTTACCTGCAGTGTTGTGGCGGTTGCTGTGACCTGCAGTGTTGTGGTAGTTGCTGTTACCTGCAGTGTTGTGGTGGTTGCTGTTACCTGCAGTGTTGTGGTGGTTGCTGTGACCTGCAGTGTTGTGGCGGTTGCTGTTACCTGCAGTGTTGTGGTGGTTGCTGTTACCTGCAGTGTTGTGGTGGTTGCTGTTACCTGCAGTGTTGTGGTGGTTGCTGTGACCTGCAGTGTTGTGGCGGTTGCTGTTACCTGCAGTGTTGTGGCGGTTGCTGTTACCTGCAGTGTTGTGGTGGTTGCTGTGACCTGCAGTGTTGTGGCAGTTCCTGTTACCTGCAGTGTTATGGCGGTTGCTGTGACCTGCAGTGTTGTGGCGGTTGCTGTTACCTGCAGTGTTGTGGCGGTTGCTGTGACCTGCAGTGTTGTGGCGGTTGCTGTTACCTGCAGTGTTGTGGTGGTTGCTGTGACCTGCAGTGTTGTGGGTGGTTGCTGTGACTTGCGGTGTGGTGGTGGTGCTGTTATCTGTAGTGTGGTGGTGGTGCTGTTATCTGCAGTGTTGTGGTGGCTGCTTCGACCTACAGTGTAGAGGTTTAACAAGTTGTATATCCTGCACTTCAGCAGGGAAAATACTTACCCGAGTCTAGAGGTCACTGTCTTCATCTGAAGTGGAGTTTGTGACTGTCTATTGCCCATAGTGTGGTTATGCAGGAACCAGGAGAGACTCTCAGAAGGTATTCATTGTCTGTCAACTCTTTGTCCAGTAGCGGTGACATGGCCCAGAGTTAGCGCGCTCGCCATTTGTTGCAGTTGTTTACGGTTCGAATCGAGCAACCGTGCGTGATTAATACTGCCAGGTACATTAACTGTAAAAAAACACGTGCCCTCTGTTTCACAGTGG